AGACTGGATGTGGCACTTAGTGCCATGGTCTAGTAACCACAGCAGTATTGGATCAAGGGTTGGACTTGACGATCTCGGAGGTCCTTTCTGGCTGATTCTATGATTCTAAGAGGAGCTGCTAACAGGCACTTGGGGGAGAAGTCATCCTCCCAGCACAAGTAGTAAATAACCGTGAGGCTCCCTCCCTTCTTAGCTGTTCCTACTTATGTTTCACAATTAGAGTTTTATTATTAGCCAATTGAATTGCAGATTCCATTAAAAACTATCTAGACTGTTTGCAGTAAGTAATTCCGCTCCATTAACTTTGGCTGGTTTTCTTGTAGAGTTACAGACAAGTGCAAGCAGTGTTTATCGGCACATAACCCCTGCGCCAGTATGGGACTCGAAAGTGAACATCTCCCTTGGCAGTAAACCAGCATTACACTGCTGTCACTGGGCATCCCCCCACCACGGAAAACTAGCTCTCTGCTCCCCATGTAAGGAGGTTTTCCTACAGTCCCGGAGTACATTTCCCTGTTTGGCTTTCATTCCTACAGTGCTTCAGGTGGGTTAGGCTGCACAGAGTCCCCCACCCCTCTTCTGCCATCTTTTTGCTCCCAGTGACCATCAGCAATGTCAGAAAGCACTTTGAACTGTGATACACAGAGAGTGGTGGTAAATGTAGGATGGTTTCTCCATCCTGAGGAACTATATGACACATATTTCTTAAAAAATTGTTTTTTTCTACAGTAACTACTCAAAACTGATGGACTCTGCTTGAGACAAGGAAGAACTCTTGAGACCTGCTATATGCCAGGGGTCTCTCAAGCCTCACAGTCTCTTTATGAAACCAACTGTGCTGGCAAAGCCAGAGGAGTCTGCCTGCATGGATCAGGTTGCAGACACCTCCACATCCTGCACAGGAATATTGGGCAGGGCACTGGGCCACTGCCTTGCTCGTTATTTTCTTGATGGTAGGAGAGTAATATTAGGACAACAAACTGTTTCAGTGCAAGAGTTATTAAGAAAACAGAAGTATTAAAAAAATAATCTTAAAGTGGTGGTGTATTTCCCATTCTACCACAAAAATCAGCCACACACACAAGTCATTACTGGCAATGGCAAGCATGTACAAGTTTTTCCTTTTTTAAGAAACAAGAGACCGAAGAGGGAGGGACAAGTGGGAAGGAAGAAAGAGCCATAAAAAGGAACAAATTGTAATGCACCACTATAATCTTTGAGCATTTTCTCCCTGACAAGCATATCTGCAGAGCATTTAAGATCTGTATGTGACAAAGAGTCAGCCAAAGAGGGAGGAGTAGAAGGAGATGCCACTTGAGCTGGCATATCAGAGAGTCTTTAAATAGAAAAGCTTCTAGGGAACTCAGGGTAGGCACTTACTGCACAAAACTTAATTACAGTCATAATGATTTGAAAAAAAAGAAATATTACAGCCTCCCCCCACCCCCCTTTTTTTTAATCCACAGCAATTGGGTAAGGGAAGGGGGAAAGCCACTGAAGACAGCACAGGACCCCAATCCTGTCATCCTCTGGGGCTTGTGCTTTGGGGTGGAACTGCCAGCTCCCCCTGAAGCTGTGAATCTCTGGGGACGCTGTACCTGTTAGTCAGTTCCTCTGCTTCCTCTGGGTCCACAGCCTCCTCCTCCTCCTCCTCCTCCTCTTCTTCTTCTTCCTCCTCCTCCTCTTCTTCCTCTTCTTCTTCATCTTCTATGAAGGACGAGGTTTCAGACGCCCTATCACACTCGGCACCACGGGAGCCCTCCATTCCCTTCCCAGCTCAGGCCCTGTCCGGTGATTTTTACCCCCAACCCTGTCCTCCCCAGGGTTGCCTGAAGCAACTGTCATCCCCAGTGGCACTCACTTCTCCTGACTCAGGGCAGTCCTTAAATAGATGCAGCCAAGTTACAGCGCAGAGTAGCTGCTGTTCCTACCCTGGGCTGTAGCACCAACCGGGTGCCAGGACACGTGTCCAAACCAAATGGCCACCCCTCCAGCAGCTCGGCCCCTTCGCCTCCCACCGCTGCCAGAGCTGTTTCTACAGCAGACAGAGCAGCCAGGCAGCAGAGGGAGGAAGGGGCTGGGGCCCCAGCAGACCTTCCAAAGCCACCTCTAGCAAATTTGGGGTGGACAGCACATTTCAGGTAGATGGAGAGTTCTCCTGTGGCCTCAAGAAAAGGTGCATTTAGCAAGTTCCACCCTTGAGCACACCCAGAATGCCTCGAATTTGACCTAGAAAGGTCCAGTACAATAACTAGTGGATGAGCCTCAGAAAAATGCATTTAGTAATTAATACCATACCATAAGGGGTATCAGATGCACTGCGACATTTAACCATACAAAAGGAATGTATTTAAAACGCAAATTTGTCGCTGTTTTTCATCACACAACATCTAAAATTTCCTCTGAGTGGACTCGAACCAATTTTAATTTAAACCAAAGACAAACTATACTACCACACAGAATTTAGGTTAAGCCACGTTTACCCTTTATTATTCTGCATTTTACACAAAATGCAGTGCTTTTCACAGACAAAATGGAAATATTTCCAACATGTACCAGCCAAATTAGTGACAAATTAAACAAAAATATTTTCAGAAGAGGAGGAAAAGCACCTCTGATTCAAAATAACAAACTTCCAAGGTATTTCAGGTATAAACCACTGTATACACAGCATAACCCTAACACCCCCATTATTTTTACCATTCTTCAAATAAATAGGTGGTTATAAATCAGTCAGGAAATTCTTCCTTGTGCTATAAGTATAGAAACACCCAACCAGGTATTTCTGAGTACAAGCCATCTCTGCAAAGGTAAACTAAAATCCCCCCGACATTTCAAAACAATACAGACGGGTAAAATCTTTGTGCTCCCTTGACCTACCCATTGACATACACAATTTACAAGGTGAGAATGTAACTTTTTTAAAAAGTGTATTTGAAATGAATATTAAACTAAATTAAACACTACATTTTATCATGAGCACAGACAGTGCACACAGCACAATGAAATTTAAGGTAGAGTACTTCACATTCTTTACAAGTGGAAGGCAAGAGCATTACAAATTTTCTAGAAATGCTTATATATTAAGCACAAGTTTTGATTCAGTCTTCAGTACAGTAAAAGAAAGGTGAGTACTCTTTTACCAGAACCTCTTCAAATTATCTCCAGACCTAGTGCTCTCCCTCCTGTACTTCTCATAAGTTAATTTGTCCTGTAAATTGACCAAAAATAGTGCATTTTTTCACGCTTTTCCTACAAGCATCATACTCTGTAAAATCAATGAGGGAAAGATTTATATCAGAACACACAAGGATTACAGACAACAACACAAACAAAAAAAACCCCTACAAAATACAAGACAACCCAGTGCAAGTAGAGTAATAAACCAAGAGTGACATTTGCTGATAGACTTAAATTTAACACCAAATATACTGTGAATTCAGTCCAATGACCCAAGTATAAGGAAAACACTGGTTCCAAAGAAGCACTTGGGATGGTATTCACAAATGCTAACTTTAGATTTTCTACAAGTCACCTTACATCCTTTCATCATGGCTGCCCATTTCTCCCAAATTATCATGTCACCCCATAATATGAGTCTTAAAATTTATTTATATTGATTGCTTTTTTCAAAAAAAAAAATAAAAAAAAAATACCCTTATACTGCCAGAATACCTTAAGGTACTGAGAGTACACTTACACATTCACATTTTAAGAAAAGTGAGAACAAGAGCTAGAAGAGAAACTTTAAGTTTCACAGTTTACAGCCTATGCCAGTTCTGCATTTCTGTCACCAAAATGGAAGCTCTTGTTAACTTTTGGTCCTCCCATGCACCTCTGAGCCTGTTCATTAAAAGTACTCCTGGAGGACTGAAGAGAGTTCTTAAATTCCTACAGAAGACACTAGTGGTTTCTGACATATAAGGTGAGAAAAGACAAGCAAACCTAATGCCAAAATGAGTAGACAAGAACAGTCCTAAAACAACAAAGAGTTGAACCAAAGCATTTTTATTTTGAGGCAGTTACAAACCTCAAAGACAGCATCTTGCACACACAGTGAAACCTTGGTCAGCCATGAAAAACACCTTTTACCAAAGATTTCTCAGAAAAAAATATTCCTGCTAGGGTGTATGCCAAGAGATAAGTGGGTGAAGGTTTTTATTTTGAAGCTGAGGAGAAGGAAAAGCTTCACACTAACACTAAAATTTATGATAGCCATTACCCAATTTCTCCCTCTGGATATTTGCCCAGAGTAGATGAAAATCCAGGTCATTAAACCTCTGAACAACTTCAGACTAAGCAGAACTGAATCAAAGTTAAAGTTCAGTTCCTACCCACTCTCCCCAAGCCATTTATTTTGTGGTATTATATTAGAAGTTTTCAGAAAAAAGTTGCAGCCACCATTTAATAAATATGCTATAAACAGGCTTGTCCTCAAACAACTAGGGAAATCAACCATCTAGAGTTTATATTTCTGATTATAGATGTAGCTTATCAGAAGTACATCAACTTCAGAGAAAAACACAAAAGAATTCTTTTGAAAGACAGACATTGTGGTTACAGACCTTGACTTGTAAATTTTTACAGAGTTGCAGGTAGGTATTACAATTTTTTTAACTAACTTTTTTAAAACATTTAGGGAGAAGTGGTTTCAAACACAGAGCATTAATTTAAGGTGTAAGAAATGTTGATACATTAGGCGATGCAATGCAAACTTGTAAGAAACACAAAATTTTGTGCCTGACATCCAGCTCACTTAAAATACATTTTTGCCAAGTTTGAACATGTATGTCCCTTCTTGCTTATCCTACGTTGGGACAGTTTTAAAGCAGATCAGAGTGAACGTTTCACTGAGATGCAAGTCTACCATCCTTTAGAGGAAGGGTTGAGAGAGGGAACATCCACATGGAGGGAAAATGTTTCAGTGGCCTGATAGAGTCAGATCAAAAGTGAAAGACTGTTCAAATTACAGAAGGAAGTGTTTTAAAAAGCAAGCCAAATCCTATATAGACTAGACTATGATGAAGTGTGCAGGAAGTAATCACACATCAGGCAAATAGTTTACAGTTCCTAGAACTTTGAAATAAACTAGAACTTTAAAGTTTGCATGAGAAGTGATAATGCTTGTTATTTTACAGTTATAGGGGTTGTTGCACTATTATTAGTGAATGCAATAAATCAAACTTTTACCTGTTCACAGATGCACTGCAAAATAGCCATAATAGATGTTTATGATTTGCAACATGGGCCCTACCTTACTGGCCATTTCCTATTCTACTTAATTATAGGAAATATTTTAAATATGCAGTACAAAGTAACAGAAATTGGAAAAATAACCTGTATCTTCCATATATAAACTTTTATTTCACTGGACACCATATAAATATTAACTTAAAAAATGGAAGTATGAATTTGACATCAGTGGTAAGTATAGTTTTAACAACTAATTGGTCTTCAATAGCAAATATATGAGAGGCAGAAATTGTGCTACAGGAGGTCTAAGAAAGGGTGTGCAATTTTTTTGGAAGAGTCCAAATTTTCAATATTATTTATTTAAATTCGGTTTACAATGGCTGACCAATTTACAAATATTTACACAAAATCAAATGAGAAGTCCAGCTTATTGTAGCATTGGTAGGGTTGAGAGGTGTTTTGATTTGGTCTTTTTCTTTTTCTCCAAAGCAGGCATCACTACTACTTCAAATATGTAAAAGGAAGTACAAAATTTTTTTTTGCCTACTCTGTGTGAATATGAAGCATTTATGTATATTGAATTGAGCTTTTTTATTTCATCTTCTTCGTAGTAAAAATGTTGCTGGAAAATTCCAGTTTAGATTACAGTTCTTAATATCCAGAACACTACCAACCATAATCTAGCTTCATTTTCATAAAGAGTCACTTGCTATTCCAAGTGAAATAAAACTGGAAAGTGCCAAGTTGAACCAAAGTGCTTACTAAAATTAAGCAGATGTAAAGCATGGGCTCTCTGTTCACCAAGAAGTGGGTACTGTGCACAGTGCCTTAAGGATGGAGTCAGATTTGCACACTGATTAACTTTGAATGTCTAGTGTTCCATTGTTAAATCTGTCTGAATTAATGGCTACACAGATTATGCAAACAACAAGTCAATATATCCCCATACTTTCCCTGAAATAGATTTATTCTTGTTGTTTGCTGTGAGTTTCTTCTAGAAGCCAGCAATACAAGCATTTTCAGAAAACATATCTTTGAATGAACAGCTGTATTAACAAATGTTGGTAATAAAATATGTCACATCCTTATAATAAGCATTTCCTTAACAAAAGTTTATAGAGAAAAACAGGTTGTAAAGAGCCATGGGGTAGATGCCTCCTGATTTTGATACTGTTCATTGTTTCAGCAGGATCAAAAAAAAAAAAAAAAGTAAAAGAAGTTGGTTATCTTTTCAGTTTGTCTGCTCTTAAAGGTAATATACATTTCAGGTCTTTCTTATCTCGTAATACCCGCCAAGCCTGGGGAAAAAAAAGCACAAGGTTTTAAAAAAAAGACTAAATAATCTTTGCCATTAAAACTTAAATACCACTATAAGCAATAAGCATCACAGATCCACAAAAACAAGGTTGATATCTTCCCCTTCTTGAAAAGACAGTTTGTGGATTGCTTTTTTCTTCGTTGGCTGGTTTTTGGTGTTTTTTAAGGGAAGCAAAATCCAAAAGATACATAAAACACAATGAACTAATGAGGAAGGTAGAGACTTTCAAGAAGACAGTGGATTTATTTTATTATATTATTATATATTTAAGTATTACATTGATATTCTTGCTGCAAAATAGTTGTCTCAAAGACACACATGTCAAAGTTCCTGATAAACAGTATTATACGCTGTTATTTCCCAAATGTAGTTGTGTCTTTAAAATAGGTTATTTCAACTTTCTTCTGTATTCTAGTGTGAATTTCAAGACATCTGTCAGGCCATGAGCCTGCAAAGAACTGTAATAGTCCTCCTGTTTTTACACAGAATTCATTTAAACCCCAATGTGTAGTGAAAATCAGAGGAAGAATAATCTCTCAAGGACAAAATAGATTCCTTAAGCTTCTTAAAAAATAGTGCAAGATATTAAAAATTACTTGTACTTTTAGAACAACTGTGATTCTTATGGTGTCTAATAAAGAGGAAATTTTTTCAGGGCTGTATCACTCTCATATATGGCTTCCAAACAGCTACAAACAAACAGCTGCTTTTATATTTTTCAGAAAACTACACAGGTATGAAACAGATTTTGTTCACTGAAAACTTGTAAAGAGAAGTTTCACTCTGATTTCACAGAACAGTGAGAGAGCGTAAACTACTTTGTATACATGACTTATAGCAGATTCACAAAATCAACTCTTTTATGTATAAGTATGTAAACCAGTTTTTTTTATGCTAACATGGTTAAAGAGAAGAAAACTAATGGACATTTCTGAACAGAGTTACAAAGAAAAGGTTATCCTTTTCTGAGTAAGGTAATCTCTTATAGCATTTGTTCTATTACAAGTATGTGGCATTGAATTACTTTTTGTTGGAGAAGTATTCAAGGTATTTAAGGACTTGAATAACTGAAGTAAAGAGGAGTCTCCAAGGACAGCATAATAGGGGAGTCTTAACTGGTTAAAGCTGGAAGCAAGTTCTGTGCACTAATTCCTAGTCATAACTACATTTTCAATAGTGAGAGATCTCAGAAAACTGATATTTCTGAGATCTCAGAATTGTGATTCCAAATTCAATGCCTATGATAGGAGACAAGAACAAAAGCTGGCAGCAACGATTTTCAGAAAAAGGATGTTTAGCCAAGGTCTAAATTTTTTCTTGCTTCAAAGTATCTTTTCCTCCCCTGCCTGGGAAAGCTCCAGTTCGAAATACTCATGTTCTAAAAAATTATGAGTATGGTCTCCCTAAAGAAAAGTACCAATTTCATTAAATTGTCAAAAATCAGATAAGCTCCATCATTTGGCGGTGATATTTATTAAAAATGGGACAGTAAGAAGTATAAAACATTGTCTATTACCAATCAAATTCATGTAGGAATAAATAATTAATGAAGACAAAGTTGTAATTCTAAAGCTATTAACCATTAATCATTAGAATTCTATACACACAAGAAAATCTAAGACAAAGGGTTTATTATTTCAAATACCCATTTCAACTGAAGCCTGATGCTTAATACCAGACATTAATAAATACTCTTAAAAATAATTTTCCAAATTTTTTTTGAAACCCCACATTTCTATTATTTATACAGTGCAAAGCACAAACTGTGAGAAACTGGCAGGTTTAATGACTAGAATTTGTATACTAAATTGAAAAGCAAAGTGACTGGAAAAATCGAATGAGGTGTACTTTTTACCTGTGCAAATTCACCTCTGATCATATCAAACTTCTGTTTCTCATGTACAGCTCTAGCAGTATTTGTCCCATCAAATGGCTCTGCAAGATCAAACACAAACATTAAAAATGTTAAAAAAAAAAAAAAGAGCTAGGTTGCCTCCACTAAGCAAGTAATCAGACAAAAAACAGTAGGGTCAACATATCACTGCTTCTCAAGAGTGTTTTGAATAGTCAATTCCACTTTGGTTCTCAAGCTTCTTTCTACATAATATTTATCAAAATGAAACACAAAACCAAACAGAGAAGCAAAGAAAAGTCCCAAACCCTGAATGTTCTGAATGACCCTAATGGAGTGCATCCTCAGAGAGTTTGCAGAGGAGACAAAGCTGAGTGGTGCAGTTGACACAACAGAGGGACGAAATGCCAAACTTGAGAAGTGGGGTCATGAGGATCTCAGGAAGTTCAGCAAGTGCAAGTGCCAGGTGCTGCACCTGGGTCAGGGCAATCCCAAACATGAGTACAGACTGGGAGAGGAAGTGATCGAGAGCAGCCCTGCCAAGAAGGACTGTGAGGATTCTTGTGGTTGAGAGGCTGGACATGAGCTGGTAACGTGCACTTGCAGTCCCAAAAGCCAACTGTGTCCTGGACTGCATCAAAAGCAGCGTGGCCAGTAGGTCAAGGGATGAGACTCTGTGATTCTGCTCCTCTACTCTGCCCTCATGAGACCCCAACCAAAGCACTGCATTCAGCTCTGGGGTCCTCAGCACAGCAAAGACATGGACTGCTGGAGCAGGCCCAGAGGGGCGACAGAAGAATGATCAGAGGACCGGAGCACCTCTCCTGTGACGAAAGGCTCAGAGAGTTAGGGTTGTTCAACCTGGAGAAGAGAAGGCTCTGGAGAGCCCTTGTAACACCTTCCAGAACCTAAAGGGGGACTACAAGAGAACTGGAGAGGGACTTTTAACGAGGGTATGCAGCGACAGGGCAAGTGGGAATGACTTCAAACTGAAAAAGGGCAACCTCAGATTAGATATGAGGAAGAAATTCTTTACTATGAAGGTGATGAGACACTGGCACAGGTTGCCCAGGAATGGTGTGGCTGCCCCATCCCTAGAAGTGTTCAAGGTCTGGTTGAACGTGGCTCTGAGCAACCTGGTCTAGAGGAAAATGTCCTTGCCCATGGCAGGGGGTTGGAAAGAGATAACCTTTAAGGTAACTTCAAACCTAAACTGTTCTATGACTCTATGAATGCTCTAATGATATGTAATCCATAATGAAGTCATAATTATCTATTGAAGCATACTATGATTGTTCTGCATTTATGCACCAGTAATTACTTGTTACAGCTCAACAGTCTGTGATAACATATCAGACTATAACATATCAGAATATTATACCAGAATATGACTTTTGAAACTTACTACACATGAGCCTTCTGGAACTATTCACTTCAGATTCATCTCATTCAACAGCTTCTCAGCGAAATATCGAGAATATAGCAAAGTATTTACTATAATTTTTTACATAACACATATCAACTGCTGTAAAAATATATTTTATCACTTCAGACCTATTCTGCAGTATCTGTTCATAAGTTAACAATTTGGGGCTTCTACCCTCTAACCGACTACAAATCTATGTGCTGCTTTTATCCCTTTTTTCCTAACATAATTTATGTAATAGTTTGGAACTTGCTGCTAATAGGGTTGCCAACATTAAAGCAATAGATACTAAAAAAATGATGATGCAGGGACTACACATTACATTGTGCTACAAAACTGATTGTATAGTCTTCTACCTTAAAAGAGAACTTATGTAACATTGTATATTTCACACAGGCAAAATGTATGACAGTCCTTAAGGGCCACAGAACCACAAAAGTATTTGCTAGATCAAGTAGCTTTTTTGTTTAGTTGGTTATGAATTGCTTTTTTTACCAGCTAGGGACACATAGTAAAATAAAGCATTAAGCAGACACCAGAAGACTTATGCCATTATGGAGAACGGAATTTCAAATTTGGAACATCTTCCATGGCATTAGGTTTTTATTTCTGCTATTTAAATGCACAAAGAACTTTTTTCAAGCAATAGATGTTGTATATTTGGCAGTTTTCTAAAAGGCTTCTCTTCAGACTACCTAGACTTCAGTGGACATTGACAGGCAGATTTATTTTACTTTAGGTTGCACCATACCTTTAGGTTTGAATAAAAAGTTGCAATGAAATAAAAAAGTACATAATCCTCTAATATCAGTCACATAATCCGACAGAGTGATCGAGCGCCACTAAGAATTCCATGTCCCTTACTATATGAAGCAGTACAGAATTTCTTTTGTCTTAAATGTGATGGTAACTGCTTTTTTAATGCTGTGACCTTTACGTACTTTATATTGAAACAAGACATATCTATATCTTAAAGCAACAAGAGCAGAACTGTACAATCTTCTGAAACCATCAGTGGAAAAAAGCTGACTTCCCTTTATTCTTCCTGCATATTTACTGTCAAAAGACAAACTCATTCCCTGGAGCACAGTAAGAGTAGTTTTGCAATCAGCTACTCTTTACACCACTACATTTTCTAACCATCAAGACAGAGAGAGTTCACTGTAAGTTATTTTGTTCACACAGAGAGATAAGAATATTAAAAGAAAAAAAGTAACACAACTTTAACACTGATGCTTGAGGGAAAGGCTAAAGGGGATCATCTTTCCAAATGAAAATCCAAAAAACCACACAACTTCAAAACTGTTGCCAATCAAGCCCTGAGGAATTCTTTTTTGAATTATTTTTAACATGTAGATCTGAAAGATTGGAAAGCATGAATCAAGTGCAGCTGAGATGGCTTCCAATTCAATTTCCCTAAATGACTATCCATTTAATTATCTCACAAAACTGTCAAGTTTCTAGATTTTCCAAACTGTATCTTTTTCAATATGAGAGTATAATATTACCTGATATAGACAAGATTTAAACTGAAACTAGAATAGTTACTAGCAATTTAGAATTTCTGACAAGGAACGTTCAAAATATTATCTAAAAGCAGTGTTGTCTGTATCTCTGTATCCCCATAATGGTAAAAGTCTGACAGATTTTAAACTGTCTGCAGAGAGCATCTCTAGTATATTTGTTTCTCTAACAGCAGAAATACATGTGAGAATTAGCCTTAAGGTCAATAACAATTAAAAAAACCCACAATTTTTCTTGAGCAAGTCTAAATACAGTGCTACATGCAGAATTATGGAAACCTGCAGGCATAGACTTGTGTAATCTATAAACAAATATATTTTAGATATCTTAAAAATATACGCAATAATAACAATTACTGAAATTTTAGTCCGCTAACTGGAAAATTTGACAAAGATTTGGAAACCAGAATATGTTGACATGCTTAGCTAGCTTTTGAAATCTTCTCAAGGTACACATACTTTTTGAGAGTAGTTCAGTTTAACAGCTGTTATAAACATGAAGCTTACTTTGAGTTGAAATAGAAAATTTTATTTTTCCCTTCCAATTTAGAAGTAAAACCTTGCTATCTGAGGCTAAACCTCACTAAGCCTTGAACCACATTGTAACAGGAAGGAATCAGATATGCCACCTATAAATAATTCTGCTTTTTTTAATAGTTCAAATGGAAAATGTATTCTTAAGGAAAAGTTGTATGCAATCAAGGCCATTAAATGCAAAATCTAGAGTTGTTTTTTGTATGTTGATATTCTATTTTCCAACCTGACAGAAAGATAACCTAACTATTCAACCACTTTGTAATGTCCTAAAAATTTGAGAGCTTGAAATACACAGTCCCCTGCAACACAGTGGATCAACATCATGTGACAGCAGCAGACACAGCTGCCCAGCATTCCCACCTCCCACATTCAGATTAGAGCCTTGGCAATGCCTCACTATTCTATCCTGAATTATTTCAGCTGTGCAGATACTCTAATTCTCACATTTCTCAACTCTGAGACTACGAAATCGAGTGTGCAATCATATTTCAGTGTGTTTTTTTTTCTCCTATGAGTGTTAGTTGATTTTTCTCAAAAGGTCAAACAAAGAACAGGAATCCCATCATATGGGATTCACACTGACATTCATATGATTACAGCCAAGTTGGTGGGCTCTAGGCCACAGAATAACCCCCTTCACCAGCAGGTAATTATTCTCTGCACAGAGCAGCACAAAAGCAGGAAATTACATACTAACACACATGGGTGCATGCCTACCTCAGCAATCTTGAGGAATGTCTGTTCAGCCACGGGACTTCTGCCTTATTCCCCTCCTCCCCCAATAAAATTTCCCCAGTGTCTAACAACTCTTTCCATACCATTTGGCTCCTGTTCAACTTTTATTCCTCTTTTATCCTGAAACTTCAGCCCTTGATATCCTGATCTTAACAGCCTCCACTAATTTGCAGCCAGGGCCCAGGCCACCTCTCTCTATATGATAATTGTTTCCAGTTACACAGCTCCTCTTAGTCCTTCCTGCTTCTCTTTTCATTCTCCTAACATCTCAATCCTTCTCTTGGTCTATCAGCTCCTCTTTCCCTAGTGCAAGCTTCATCTCCTATGTACGCTTTACTACTCATCTTCTCCACATACACTCCCCACAGCAGTTTTAAGGCACCACAAGTACACGGATCAGGTTACTCGGATAGTGCTACTGCCCACTTCTGCCATGAGACCTGGTTGAGATCTGCAACTCTATCAGGTAGCCTGGGTGTACCCTCCCGCTCTGTACAAAGTCTACATTCACAAGCTGGCCAAAAACAGTAGCCAAAAGAAGATCAGCATACACATTACTGCTAGGACTTTCAATGCCAGAGCATTTCTAGAACAAAGAATATTCCTCGAGAGTAATCTGAATATGTGCCAGATGTGTTTTTTCAGAAGTTCAAACTTGGCAAAACTGATGACTATTTTTGTGGAGCAGAAAAACACACCAGTGGCATAAAGGCCATTCCTTATCGAAGTCCTAATCCCTGATCCAAAAGTAACAGGGCAATGAGTGCTCTTGAAGAAAAGGTCAGGAGTACTATTTTTAAACACTACAGAACTTAAAACTTCCTTCTCAAATGTTTTTGACAGGACTGTTTCCAAACTATTTACATTGGCTAAACTTCATTTCCTACATAACGCACATTTCCTTCAAAACACAACCAAAGTAAAGTCTAATTGATAGATTTATGTATTTAATGTCTTAACAGTTAAAAATTATAATGCAGCTTCACATTTTACCTTCTACACAAATAAATTTGTTTCTCCATTCAATACCATCAGGTCTTGGAATAGCTTTGGCTTCACGAACCGAAATCATTTGATGGCTCCAACTAGAAAAAAAGAAAACAATTTGCAAAAATTTTTAACTTAATTCCAAATTAATAGTATCAGTTTACATTTAAAAAAATTGTTAAATTGCTATATCATAATCCTGGTTAACACTGTACTTTATAATAATGAAAAATTTAACAGTCTAATCTTCACAATTCAGTATATAAGAATAAGAAATCGTGTGTAGGAAACAAGAAAATTTTTCCACAAACAGAAGTTTAATTACAAAAGCGTATCCAAAATAGAGCATCATGGGTATTCATGAGTAACATATATTCACAACAGAATAACTTGTTCAACTAACAATGTCAAACTGAACATTGACACCTACATTTATTTCTAAGTTCAAAAGAAATTATAGACTCAAATCTTTTAGAATTTGCTATGGGGAGAAGAGAAAGGCAAGGAGTAAGTGTAGATGAAATCACATACTGCATTCTATTAAAAAAATACTCAATAGTATAAAAATACATAGAGACAGCTTGCTTACAGGCCAGCATTCCTCGTGCAAGGAACCTATTACTAGAAAGCACCAACACTTCATATAAGCTGAATTTTAGATCTACAAGTGCAACATCTCCCTACCACTTTCTGCACATAACTTTATGGTAACAAAACCATAGGAAATTATCATACTGAAACAGGAACAGCAGGCAATCTACAGGGCAATCTTTACCATGTGTCAACATCTTTATGATGCTTGGCACAACAACACGCCAAACGTAATGGAAGCCAAAACAATCACTTTCAGTTTTATGTTCTCATCAATCCAGCCAGTTTTCAGCTACTCTTAACTAAACAGAGCAGCTCATGCCCAGTGCCATCATGAGGCACATGCAGGGCAACCAGGGGATTGGGCCCAGCCAGCATGGGTTTGTGAAAGGCAGATCCTGCTCAGCTAACCAGATCTCTTTCTATGACAGGGTGACCTACTTAGTGGATGAGGGAAGGGCTGTGGAAATTGTCTATCTAGACTTTAGTAAAGCTTTTCACATTATTTCTCACAGCATTCTGGAGAAACCAACTGCTCATGGCTTAGATGGGTGCATTGTTCACTGGGTTAAAAAGGAGCTGGATGGATGGGCCCAGAGAGAGAGGTTACCTCCAGCTGGCAGTAGGTCACAAGGCGGTGTTCCCCAGGATTCAGTACCAGGGCGTGATCTGGATGCAGGGATCAAGTGCGCCTTCAGACAGTTCACAGGTGACACCAAGCTGGGCAAGAATGTTCATCTGCTGGAGAGCAAGAAGGCTCTGCAGAGGGATCTGGACAGGCTGGATAGATGGGCCAAGGCATATGGTATAAGGCAAAGTGCCCTTAGGTCACAACAACCCCATGCACAGCCACAGGCTGGGAGGGGTGGGTGGAAAGCTGCCCAGATTAAAAAGGTCTCTTCCAACCGAAGATTCTGTAAACCAGGGAACTACTCTATCAACAAAATGCGTGGATCACCAACAATGTATCACCACATATCCTGACTAAATGGCGCTTAGAAATAAGCTGCTTAATGTGCTGCCAGCTGTACTGGTGTTATGTATACCTGACGTGATCTCCTGACTGAATCAATCTTTTGACATAATGCAAAGACAGAGGAGCTGGGCTGGGTACATCAACCACTTGCAGTAAATCTGTAAATATCAACTGGAAATTAAAATACCATCTATAATTCATCAGCTACATTTGGAAGAACAACATGCTCCCTAGGCCACAGACCAGCTGCTGAAACTCCACTGAGTCAGTGGTGCTAAGACAGCTAAAAATCTGTGACTGTAATTCTACAAATTATCTTAGATACAGCTCATAATTAAAACCACTTATGAAAGTCAGTTGTTTGAATAACTGTACTTACACAAAACATATGCATTATTCTTTTATTTAAAAATATCAATAGGGCTTATTTTCAAAAAGTGCAGGATGTAGCACATGAAGTAGGTTCAGGATACCTCAGTGTGTATATTTAGACTTCTCCTGATATATTCTTTAGAAAATTAGTACAGATGATGACGATTCCTAGTACTCAATGCAAACTAAAGCTTTCACTCTAACCCATCATCCTTCCTCTCCTTAATTCCCATAGTAGACTACTTTTGCAAGATTTACAGATATTGCGAAGCATCAAATACTTTCCTATCATGTCTTTTAATAAATGACCATCAACAGAAGCTTAATTCAGATGAATTGCTCAAAAAAGAACAAACATGAACACACATTAAAAAAAAAACCACAAAAAGAAAAACAAAACAAAAAAACACCAAAACAAAAAACAAAACCAAAACCAAACCAACAAAAAAAAAAAAGAGAGAGAGTAAATGGAAAATGTATATGCCCAGAGCATCAAACAAGTTTAAACTGCAGCCTGAGGACATTGTTTGTGAGTAGAAGATGACAGTTCAACTCATCTGCTTTTTCTAAAAGCCCTGTTTAAAACTCAGAGTGATCCAGACCAGTGGGAGAAAAAAAAAAGTCATGAAACAAAGTATTCGATCTGCATTTAATTTAAGCAGGCAGTACTGTTTCACTTGAAACAGTAATTCTTCTCTTGAATTCTCTTTTTTCTAGGTTATATTCGATGCCTCAGCAAAAAATAAACGCATTTATAATACACCGGTTAAGCAAAAAAGCAACAAAAAAGTGACAGTTCTAGCTATTTAAACTTGAAAATAACTGTTTTATCTGATAGTGTCACTAAACCCGTCAGTACCAAAATCATCCTGAATTAGAAATTAATTACCAACAGCAAATTATTTGTGTATCAATTTTAACCATTTTGGCTTGCATACAGTAACTTCACTGTTACCAACACAAAGCAAATATTCTCCACATACAGACTTGCAATCCGTAAGTTAACGATGGCTATTTAAACAGCTATTTCAATTATCAGCTATTTCTGTTGTCACTGCCTTCATTAGATACATGATCTTCAGAGGGAAGACAAGTATTTGAAAGAAAGATCAGGCAATTTCAGGTGTCTGTATAATGACACTACAAATAAAATAAAAAGCTTATCTTTTCCAGAGCATTCTTACAAATCAAAGCCACTTATATAAACACACTAAGATGGATAAAAATTGCAAGCATATATAATTCAATATGATATTAAAAATGATCCCTTTATTACTTGACCAATTCTACTGTGAAAAGAGTTGCCAGCAACTGCTCACTGTAATTTTTATTTTGTCATTAAAATGTAACCAATCTTTTGTCATGTCAAATACAACTTAATGAGTGAATGATCTTAAACAACTGCTACATAACTTGCAACAATAAATTTAAGAGAAGCAGTCATAAAGGACAAACTCTAGGTTACCTAACAGCATATTCAAGGGAACAAGGCCTCAGCTTGAAAAGAGACATCCAAGTGAAAACCTGCTGCCTTCACTCACAGCTGCAGAAATGAAATCAGACACCTCCTTTGGAGGGACTGGTAAATATGGACCAGTTTCCAAATACTTTCTTTGGACAACATCTAAATGCATTTTCTTACTTGATCACATTCACTGCATAATCAGCAGACCTTTGACAATTTTAAATATTAGAGTAATAATGGAGTCACAAGCATGCTTTTAGCCAGTTCTATCATAAGAAACATTATGCAGACTTGAACTCTTATGGCAAGATAATTACACAACCATAAAGGCAAAACAAGATCTGCCATATGTAGTGTGTTAGTCCAATGTATGTAGCAATTTCCAAATCACATTTCTTTGGGGATAGGGATGAAGGATTGTAAAAGTTACTTCTTATGGACACACTGAAAGCCCCAAAGCAGAACTGTGGAAAGAGCACTGTATAAATACATGGCAATAAGCAGTTTTCTGAAACATCTTACAGTCTAAATAAATCAAACATGTTAAAAGTATAAGGGAAAAAAACCACAGCACAAGGAGATGAACTTATTCATGGCTGCACAGCACACAAGGTGGCTTTGTTTCTTCCTTTGCCATACTCTTTGGGCCCATCCTGCCTTTAAATATTAGGCACTACCTAAAGTAAAATAAACTACAGATTTTAAATTAAATACCTGATGGCCTTTGCTAGAGTGAGGGAGAAGTTAAAAACAATACATCCCTGTCTTCTCCTACCTTCCTGACCAATACATGTAAAATAAATGAGTAGTTAAGCATTCTAGGCAGGTGGCTTCAATGACTCATTCTGTTCAAAATGATGGTCTTCACACATGATCTGATCATTCTTGATTGTATACTATTCATTCAGCAAAACAGTTCCTATGTATCAAACCTGGTAGTGAATTCTACTCCTACAAAAGACAGAAACCTACAACAATCACTTTTATGAAAACTGAAATAGCAATTTTAGTCTCTTTAGTAATCTTTTCATCAAACACATTACAGCCCAATAGTGAAAGTTCACTCGCTAGGTCATTGAAATATGGCCCAGTTTAACAGTCACAGTATATGAAATATAATCTCAATATTTTAGTGCATAAAAACACCAGTAAATGTTTCACAGGGAAAGCAAACCCTTAAAAAATTAGTAGCTACAGCAGTGAAAATATTCAACACATTCTGGAGTAAGATACTAGTTCTTCCATGAAAGGCAGAACTAAGAGAGCCCTGTGGTATGTGTATTTACAAGCTTAATGAGTCAGCAGTGCCCTGGCAGCCAGGAGGGCCAACCGTGTCCTGGGGGGCATCAGGAAAAGCATCACCAGCCAGCTGAGGGAGGGGATTGTCCTGCTCTGCTCTGCACTGGAGCGGCCTCACCTTGAGTATTGTGTGCAGTTTTGGGCACCACAATATAAGAAAGATATTGAGCTATTAGAGAGTGTCCAAAAGAGGGCCATGAGGATGGTCAAGGGTCTGGAGTGGAAGCCCTATGAGGAGCGGCTGCGGTCACTTGGTCCGTTCAGTCTGGAGAAGACTGAGGGGAGACCCCATCAGTGTCTTCAACATCCTCACAAGGGGCAGCGGATGAGCAGGTACCGATCTCTTCACTCTCACAACCAGTGACAGGACTTGAGGTAATGGCATGAAGCTGAGTCGGGGAGGTTTAGTTTAGATATGAAGAAACTCAGTATATTGTGATTCTACGTATTTAACTCTTATCGTCATTCTCACTTGTACTGTTGTTTCCATCAGCAACTTCAAAGCAAAGATAACATATTTGTGCCTAGCATGACACTGTTCTTTGGTTCTCACTGGCCTGCTATCTCACACACTAAAAACTTTTAAGACATGATCATGTTCCTCCCTATGGGCACTAATTTGTCTTCTCCGGGCAATTACCAGGTTTTAAGAAACTATACGGAAATTTACTACTTTCAAGACACCAATCCTATTCCTTTCAAAAATGATTTATAGTTGTCAGGGATACACAGATGGTCAATTAAACAGTACACCTGGCTAAGTTTTAATTCTGTAGCAGAAAGAGTTAAAAAAAACTGCTGCACTAAGCGCATCATTTCCTCAAATGATTTCTCAGCTATGTAACATTTTCAACAGAGGAATTCTAATGGCTATTTTTACAGGAGGTTTTTTGCGCCCTTTTTTTTTTTTAACAGAATATCATGAGTCAAATGTTTAAATACTTAACAGATACTGGACAGTGGAAAAACCAGCCAGATATTCTTTTTTTCCAGTTGTTTTTTAAAAACATTTTCTTCCTTTGACATCAGCAAGTATCCTGTCTTCAATGTTACTTTTTCAAACCTTGTTTTAACCAGTTCACCTGTGTGATTAAATTTAGGTAACATTTTTTCCTGATTTATGAACATCACAAAAAATAATATTTAGGGATTACCATCACTTCAAGTACCGATATTGCAGAAGTCTTCACATATGTTAACAGCATATCCTGTCTAACAGCAGACAAAACCAAAGTCTTTCTGGACCAACCACCAACTAGGCAGAAGTCTGGTTCTGACTATGTTCACAAGTGCTCAAACCAGAAAAGTCAAATTACGCATTTTTCCTGAATTTAGACAAGATCATCTCTATTACTTTGCCCAGGCAAATCAGAAAATTCTTCCTTATTGGAAAATACATTTACTTTCATATATGAGAAGATTAAGAGCTTGTTGTTCAGTCAAGTAGTAAAGGATTCATCTAGTGCTCAACATAAATCAGGAACCTGAGGTTATCCTTCAGCAGTGTCTTCCCATTTGCCTCTTTACCAAACATCACCTTGCCAGCTGAAAAGACAGGTACTCAGGAGAAACATTATACTATAGCGTAATATAACAAACCCTAGCAATTTTTAAAGGACAACAGTCTCTAGCTTTCGGCACCTATTTCGCAGGACAGAATGCCTGGCTAAGTAGAAGATGTCAGATACTTTATCAACATTCCTAATGTCATTTAGCCTTCTCACCCTTTTCCTCCCTGTCAATTACCATTCCTTCATTACTGCAATTCTTTCTCTTCAAGCATTAGAAAGTGTTGCTATACTGAATAGAAGGAATCAAAGTTTTGCATATTCCAAACCACAGAGACAAGCTTATTACTTACTCAAATTCTGTGGCATAATATTTGAAGAAGCCTATTAGCAAATCTCCAAGACTTGATCCATTTTTTGAGATGTAAGGAGGAATGGTACATGGAGCTTGATGAACAAGATGCAACTGCATAGTAGGATCAAAACATTCCTGTCAAAAAAAAATCAGAGTGTATATATATATATGTATATACTACACACACAAACAAAGAGAGCCTTAAACAAGATGAATATATTTTTCCCAATAAGAAAGCTGCTTATCATTTGCTTGTTAGAAGTTCAAGGACAATTTACAAGCCAACAACTATTTCTCTTCCGCTCCTCTCTTGATACTAGTTACTCTCTCTGAACTCAGGTAGAATCATCTTGCACAGGAGTGTGTGAGACCACCTCTTGACTTCTGTTTACTAAAGAACTTTAACATGGGAGAATCTTTGAACTGCACTGAGCTGGCTGCAGTTGAATTGAGATAAGGTAAGTAAAACTAATGCATCCATTGCCAATTTTGAACACCTATGGTACAGAAACAATCCCAAAGCAAGGCCTGACTTTTCTCCCACAGCAGAGTTCAAATGGCATATGAACCCCACTGGCAATAAAATGAATCTGCATCCTCCCACATAATGAGTTCAAAGACTGCAGTCACACTTCCTCTAGCCAAGCTATCTGAATAAATAAAAAAAAAACCAACAACAGTGCAGTTATACAAAAACCCTGAATACACAGAATGCAGGACTTCAGCTGAAGTATGCTTTTCTTCAGAGGGAAGGGGGTGGGCATGATGGGGGTAAGAAAAAGTCAGATTTGCTATGAAAAGAAATCACTATTGCCAGCTTAAAAAGGAATCTATACAAGGCTAAATTAACATGGGTTTAGCTCTGCTCTACTGTTTCAGTGTCCATTGCATCCTTTAGGTTATCATGATAGACTGGAATACATGGAGGAAAACATATCTTCCCGATAAACATTTTTATAACCTGGTAATACCAGGTTTTAACACTATTTTACAGCAATGTTGTGTATTTTACTGAAAATTAACCCAAGATACACAAGAGCAAGCTTCCTTCAAATAAAGGAACACATTTATGTAAATTTAGAGACTTATTCACTCATTACTGTATCTCCCCTCTCCTCCCATTCATTTGTTATTTTAAAGAGTAGTATCAGGCATGACTCAAACTTTATAGCACTAGAATAGCACTAGAAGTACTACACACTGTAATGCTATTTCCATGTCCACAGCTGGTAGCTCTTCCTCTGAGAAAAGCACAGTGTGGCACTAAACCTGCATTATATGGGAAAACTGTTGTTTAAACATGTCTTAAAATGGCTTTTGGTGGTCTCCTTGCAAACACATGCTTCTTCTTCCCAGCATCCCCCATGTTATCCATGTAGGAATGTCCTGCATAACCCCCTTGTTATCCATGCAGGAATGTCCTGGGAAGGTGTCCTGAGGTGTTTCCCATTGGCCTTTGTTAACCTCTTCCTGTGATTGGGTGTTCCTGTAAGCCCCTTGAGACTTCTAATTGGTTACTCTGTGAATCCTCCTAAACCCTATAAATGTAACATCCCCCACAATAAAGCTCTCTCTTGCCTCCTCTCCACACCCGGTATCCTGTCTCCCTGCCAGCCATGGGGCCACATGCGGGGGGTGGGGGGTGGGGGGGTTGGGGGGAAGGGGGAACACCTCTCCCCTCCAGGCTCAGGGCCAGAAGAAATCCCTGAGAAACCCCTGGAGTTCCCTTTCCCCATCCTTCAAGGCGTTGCAATGGTTCTTCAGATGGAAACGGAACTAGAACTGGGCCGTGTCATGTCGTGGGTGGGGAAAGGGATCCAGAGCACAGTTAGTGATCAAAACCAGTAGGACTGAAAAGTCTGGGACTTCTGTCCTCTTCTGCCAATTCTAGCAAAACTTCCTGGAACCTTGTGCAGTATCTTCAGGGAAAAAAACCCATTCTTCTAGCAATGAAAAAATTTCAAGTGTTGATCTCACATGATACAACTTTACATATCAAACATACGTAGAAAACACAGTTAGCAGAGCTCAGAATTTAACAGCTTATAATTCATCAGAAGACACCAAAACAATGGAGACACAGAGACATAAAAAGCAGATACGCAGCACACAAAGATGTAGAAAGGGAACAGCTGTTCCTATGTCATACAGTATATACAGTTTTAACTCTAAAGTTAATCAGAAAGGTACTAGAGTGAAAGTTACTCCTTGCCCATTCCCACAGAAAGTTACAGAGAGTCACAACAGTTGAATTCAGAAGTAGCAGCATACCAGCTCAAGAAGAACATACAAGGGAGGAGGCAAAAGGAAAAACAAGGGATGATGACCTCCAAACAATACAAAACAGAAATGTAATGAAATTACTACAACAGATGTCTACTAAGACCAGTAAGTAAATGTTTGGAGGCAGCAGACATCTTTGAAAAGGAGAACAAGATTAACTTTTTTAAGCTTTGAATATTTAAATGCCCAAGAACTTCTCAACTGCAGGAAAATTCTGCCAGCACAGTGAGGCTGGCAACCTGAGCAGCTAAAAAGCTGGCAATAAGATTTCAGACAAATCAAAGTTTTCCTCACTCAGAAAGGCATTTGCCTTCAAAAAATACACCTGTATTATTCTATATAAGTGCTCCAGTAAAAAGGCAAGTTATGGTCTATAGCAGCTAACCATTAAAAAACCCAACCACCTAGTTCTATAAATAATTCCCATTTCCACTTGGTTTACTGGTTACATCTCTATGAAAATTACTCTTAAAAAGGCAACTAAGTATTGCAAAAAAGAAGGCATGACTGAAATTAATTTTCTGGAAGAAAGTAAGGTTTTTTAACACTAACTAAAGCAAAGCATTAATAACATCCTTGTGATACTGTTAGCAAATTTATTTTTTAAGCACTGTCAGTTGCTGATCACCACACATAAAGGCAAAAAACAGTGTTTCATCTTTCTGAAATACAGAAATTTTTTTATGGAAGAAGTAGCCATTACCATATTATAAAGTCTTACATGTAAAACCAAATTAGTTATTACTTAAAATTCAGTATATGGAAGATGTAATGAAAACTTCTGTCAAGAAACAACAACATTCAATATATCAATAACCAACAATGTAATTTTTTTAACATAATTTCTTAACAAAGCAATCACTCAGTGCGCAGTGAACAAGAGGTCAGACCAGCCACAGGATACATAGACTCATTTTTCTGCTTTGCCACAGACAACCCATGAAAATCCACTACCCTCAACTCATCTCCATTCACCTGTTGTAAAACAGGGATAACAGTATTTGCCTTCCTGTTAGGGGGACTCAGGGAATAACTAGCTAAACACAACAAGGTAGATTCTGCACATAAAGGAGTGATATGGTTTGAAGCTGGCTCCCTGCCAAGTCTCCAAACCTTACCACAAGAAGTCGTTGTCCCCCCACCTAAAACCTCGGGGAGAAGAGGGAGAAAAGACAACTAAGAAAACCCGAAACGAGAGAGAGACAGCTAAAGTGATATATATAAATATATTTACACCTATATTACAGTTATATACAATTGAAATATATACAATTTCACAAGGGAAAGGGAAGGGGGAAGGGAAAGGGAACAAAACCAAAATAATATATATATATATATATCCCAATCAGTAGCCCGAGATCTAGTAACTAAAGAGTTAGCAAAGAAATATCCCACCACTCTCCTTGGGACAACCGAGAGTCGCTCCGGGACGATCGCCGGCAACCTCCACCTCCCAAGGTCGACAAGGCCTTACCAGGCCTCGCTCCCCAACACGGCAGACTCAACAGCAGGGAACCTGCACCTCCAAGCCACCGGAAGGAAAGAGAACGAAGGCCTTTCCTCCTTTCTTCTTATAATCTGGTTTACGTAAAAATCGTAGGGAATACTGGGTAAATCTAGACCCTTCCTTGGCTACAAACTGGTCACCAAGGAAGGCCTAGCCCAAACTACCACAAGGAGCTTGTCTAATAAAATGGATTTACAAACCATCCTTCAAATTAGCTTAGTTTCAAGTAGGCAATCCCTGTAAGTTTTCTCTTTTTAACTGCACTAAAAGGCAAAAGATCCAACTTCTATTAAAATTAGTCCCTAATACACTTACTGTGTCTTTGCCTCAAGCCACCTTAAGAGACAGAAAGGAAATTCAGGATCTGACGGAGTAAATATAAATGAGCTATCCATTATTTCCAGATACTTCAGAAAAAGGGACCCCAAAGTCCTTTTCCTTTTTTGCTAGATCTCTAATCTTTACCTTGGTTGGCTGATTTCTCAAGAAACACCAGTATTGAGCAACATGTTTCATGTTCAAGCTACATAATGTTTACAAGTACACTCATTCCACCTTACATATTGGAAAGGAAGACAAGTGTACATAAAAAAAAAATTATATTTGAGTGTCTTAATGTATAGTGTGTTTAACTCTAAATGTACAGGATTCTTCCAAAAAGTTTACAGTTGTAGCATCAGCATAGCGTCTTGCCATTTTTTATATTCACACACATAAAATACCCTTCACCAGTCTTACAAATGAATATTTAAGTCATGTTTTTACTTTTTAAAAGTGCAACTCAACATGTGAAGCAAACTGTGTCTGTCCAAGGACTGACTTCTACATTGAGCACCACCCCACCTTCTGCTCCACAGTTTTAAGACACGACATGAAGATGACGTAGCAGATACAAAAGTGTGCTCATGCAAAGTCCACAAAATTCACTATCCACAGCACTCACGGAGACTCGCTTCCATCTTGATTTAAGGTAATACACTTGAACACTTAAGGCTGCTTGAACGCTGGGGGCTCAGGTACAAGTTACCTTCTGACTGCCAGTGGCAGCAATGTGCACCAGGTGTAGTGGCCTGAGCCATTACAGGTTCTCCAGAGCTCATCTGTAAAGTCCTGACTTGAAGGCAAGTTCTACATAGACTTCAGAACTGATCAGCACGTTTTGTGGGCTACTATGATCTACCTGATCTGGATAGTGAGGGCAGGAAGCCCCAGAATACAACCCCACATCTGATATGGTCCAATACCCACTCTAAACAAGAGGTTGTAAAACATGTCAGCTTGGTACCAGCTGGAGGCTCACCCACGACAACAGAACGCACTAGTGGGCAAACCTGGTGGCTTTCCAGGACTTCTCAACCCTTCACATTTGCAGCAGGGATATACTGAGACATGGAATCTGCCTTTTGTCTCCTCCTCAATAAAAGCATGTCTCTCTTATATGGTACCAACAATGTAAAACAGAGCACAAAAGTATTTTCAGGCTGCAGATTTGATTTTGAAAAACTGTAGGTAGATGTCTGTAGGGGAGATGTAGTATTTATGTGTAGCGTTAGTATGGAGACAGAGCTTTGACCAGCTACAACCACAAGAAAAACATATGGTTTCTTTCGATACTGACATTTGCCTATGCTTTGAAATTATTACTGCAAGGTACAAGACCAAATTTGTGTTGCTGTATTTTTAATTTTAAATTTCTCTGAAATACCAGCATTCAGAAATTTTAACTTTCAATTTTTAAACACTTAACTATAATTATATTCCTAATGGAAACAGTAGACCAAAGATACATTTGCAAATTTGTGTTTATAGTAAACAAGTATAAAATATTATTTTAATTTTGTTAGCAATCCTAGAATTCTCCAAAGGTAATCCAATCATTCTCTAAAGGCAAGATAACTAAAAAGAACGAAAAATAAAAAAAACCTCTACATCAGAACAGGGTAAAAAGCCAATTCTTCTAGCTGTGTTCTCAAAACACAGGTACCTGCATGTGATTTACTGTTTTCACATAACACAAGATAAAACCTTGTACAAATGTTTAATTCATTACAAATTCATTATATTTTTAGTACAAATTCATTATATTTTTCAGGTTTTGCTATTGTATACTTCTGCTTTAATCATACAAGGCATTAATGTTTGCATAGTACTCTGAAGGCCTTTACACAGTTCAAACACTGTGTAAATAAATTTATTTCGTAAATGTAAATAATTATAATTTTGCATTATAATTTTGGAGGAGTTAAAATTTACCAATTCTTAACAGTTTTATTTAAATAACATGCTACACAAAACTTACAATCCTACAAATTCAAAACCCTATCGGATAAAGCTAAGTGTACAAGAAATGAAAGACAACTTCAAATGCTTTTCAGCCCTCTCAGTGAAGAAATGAGAAGGTATATAGTACCATAAAAAAACCAGAGGAAAAGATAAAAGGCCATAAAAATGTAGCACAGGTATGCCTAAGCAGATTCACAATGCAGAAATAAAACTGCAGTGTATTATCACTCAAAGCTTTCTTCTGCATCTTGATTACCCTAATTACCCATAATGGTTGACACCACAGTATTTTCTCCCTGATGTACAGTGTTATTAAATATTCCCATTTCAGCATTATAGGAAATATATGCAAAAGATAGAATGGCTTTCTGATACTACCTCAGCACAACTGTCAGCAACAAATTACAGAAACATACAGGGACAGGGACATCAAACTATGTGAACTACGAATAAAAAAAAAATTAAAAAGTGACACGAGAGGAAAAGTAAGGAGGAAGAAAGCAAGGAACTTCAGTAAATAAGTTATAGCATAGAACTATTCATCAATAGAGCTGGGAAATATTTAGGAGGGTAGATCTTACTTCTAGATCATCTTCCTCAGATTAAATCTCATTAATAACAGTCCTAATTCCGGAGGGATCAAAGCATATTGATTCACAGAATTCACTGGAAGTGAACGGAGTATGATCTGGATACAACAGATATGGATGTATGATCTGGATACAAAGTCCCAAAAAGGTGTTTTTTTGTTGGACTGAAGCCAAATTTTGTGATGTCACAAAAGTTTGCTTAGTAGATATTTATCACTCACTCTGCACACAGAAATATCAGGCAACTCAACATCTGTGGGAGGGTATGGAATTCTGAAACACCAGAGTTGGATGAAAACGTAACATATTAAAGATAGGATCCGGAAAGTTACAACTGACACAGGGATATTTTCAGGCCAGCATAAAGGGAATTAAGTCAGCGGTTTTCATCAGCACTTGTTTCTACCTGTGTGTGAAATCTTCTCATACATAACAGAATTTTCACTACAGAAATTATCAAAAGCAGCAAATAACCTCTTTCACACTTATGTTTAGCAGATCAATGACCAGATTTACAGACTTAGAGACAGTTAAGAAATTATATATTTAGATAAGCAAGGTCATACACATATATTATGTAGTAAAACCATAAGAAGCACTTACCGGGTAATTTTTCTGCAGGGATGGAAGGATGGGTTCAGGTAGGGCTATAAGAAAGAGAAGTTTGAAGTTGCTGTGATTCACATAATTCACAGGAAGCATTATCATATCAAGTACACTGCAGGGTTGAGTTGAAATTTTGTCTTAAAAACATCTATCAAGAACTTCACTTTCATGTCTTTTTTAAAGTAGAAGTTATTCAGCAAACATTTCTATTACTATATTTCCCACTATATAGTACTATAAGAAGTTTATTCAGCTAAGGGAAGCTGTTATCAAGATACTTCTATATACAGAAGGCATGAAAAATTCTACAGCAGCTGGGTACAACTTCATTTCTCAAATTTATATTAATTCATGGCTATAAAAACATCAAGAAAAAATTAGAGAGTCACTCTTTCTTTTTCCCTACGTCTAATACATATGATTCCATCATAGCATAAGTCTACAGATACTACAAAAGCACATATTTTTCAGCTGCAAAGTATCATATACTGAACCTCCAAAAGTAACCTAAAGAAAAAATACCCAACACATTTACTAGGCATTGTTACAAAATCCCTACAAAATACATAAATACAGTCTAATATTGTTAGCTGATCTACTAAATGGCAAACATGTTATAACAATCAGGCAGTCATTAACGATAAAAACACAAAATGAATTAAACATTTGCCATTTTTTACGAAAATCATGGATTGGGAGACCATCTCTTGCACAACATAAAAAAGAAGGAGAAAACTTGTCAGTCAGATTAGATGATAAACTAAAATCCAAAACTACTGACATGCCAGTCAAACCTCAGAGCAGCTACCAAATTACTAGAGCACTCCTCAGACTAAAGCTTTAACATCATCTCTTCAGCATGTTTTTTTAAACAACTGGTCTACATCATTCACTAGGGAGAATAATAACTAAATTCAGTACACTGGACTTGGGACTTAGTTCACCCTTCTAACAGGCTCTCACAGGGGAAGAGATGATACAGAATCCTTTTTCCATAGGGACTAAGAATCAGAACAGCAGAATTCTCAGAATATGTTTCGAGTATCTTCAAAGAGTATAATATACCTACCAGGTCTGCTAAGACAATGATCACAGCTTCTTTAATAATATTTTTATTTTATTTGCGAGTGTTTAGAAATACGCAACAGCTCATAGTTCTGCAATATTTTGGATAATTTCCAGTCCTCTGCCCCACTAAAACAAAAGGTAACAAAATCTAAGCAATACAAGCAATCAAGATATTGTATCTGGGCCTGCATGCTTTACTAAGAGGATGGACTTTTCCCCTAAAGCTACCACTTATCACTAACATTTGCCATATGAGTTCTGTTTTCTTATTGTACAAGTTAGTTAGACCTGTTATCTGGAAGAAAGTTCATGTACAAGATACTGACGTATCTATAAAATAAACTGAAGCCACACTAAACTTGTGTATGAAGACATCCACAGGAGTATAAGACTGTGGAAATTAATTAAGTAATACAGGAAAGAAATCTGCCTAGTGAAGACAGGGCCACTATTTATTGCAAAAGAAAGCCTTCAGTTTGTTCCCTCTCCAGTAACATGAACAAAAACACTGTTAGAAGTTCTAGGATACAGGCTACTTCCAGGAGAATTACATGCATGTAGCAGGAAAAAAAAAACCTTTAAAATCTTCATGAATAAAACATCAGAACCTAAAGAGATGGTGCTAGTTACATGTACAGACCCACATCTCAGGTGGTTTTTTTTCTGCAGAAAAGGCTGATGAATCACAGGTAAAAGGCTCCTCTTTGGTTTGTAGACTTCTGATCCTCCCCAGACAGCTGATGGATCACACTTTTGCATGAAAAGGATTATCTGAACCTTTTTTCCCCTTCCCTAGAGAGCTACGCCAGCTGCCACACATGATTATAGCTACTGTCCTCATGCATTTTTGTTAACTAGTGCTTATAGCTACGCAGTGTCCTGCAGGTACATTTATTTAAATTTTTTAAACCTTTGTAAAGCTGGTAGCTCTGCTTCCAGAGAAGAGGTCCACTTGTTAAAAGACAAATGCAGCACTAAGGAAATAGAGTAAATGCACTTCAAATCTTTCAAAATTACTTACTTTCAAAATTCTTCCTTTCAAACCTTTTTTGTGGAAGATGATTACTGTGTTTGATTTTATTAAACAGGAAAACTACACAGATATGAACTCAAAAGAGGCAGTTTCAACATGGAAAAAAATACTTACTCTGTAAATAGTGCAAAACCATCAGCACAAGACTGTAGCTGTTTAAAGTACCACGACTGGCATCATTTATCTCATGAAAACTTGCCCACTTCTTAATAACCAGTACTAATGGACGAACTCGATTCTCAACTGCAAGTAAAATAAGTACATCTAAAAAAAGTATATTTAACTATACAGCAATTATTCAACATTTGTTCCTACTTAATCAACATATTTTTTGTATTCTAAGGTTACCTTTCAGAAGCATTTTATAGAATTTACTTAGTTATTCTACAACTACTATCCGTCCTGTAAAAATCAGAACCAAGTATTTGCATTTGAAAAGAGTCTTTTGAGTAATAAGATCATAATAAATGGGTATGTCAGGAAATTTGCAGGTAAGACAAAACTGGATAGATCAGTCAATACAGTAGTGTCACATTTGACTTCAAAGCTCTCTCCAGTTCCTTATAATAATTTTCCCTGAATTAACTTGCTGACAGGATAGACCCTAAGTTATTTTTCATTGAGGGCAGGGAAAAGAATTCTCCTTGTTGGAGGACACAAACCTCATTCTTAAGTTTACCTCAGGATCCATAAGGCAGTAACCTATGCATACAAACATAAATTTTAATTTTGCCTTGTCCTCAAAAGCTTTTTATGTAGATGAGATGTTAGACAAAATACCTCTTTAAATCAAGACATATCCATTTCATGAGGAATGACATAAATACAGTCATATTCTAGGTACGATCTTCCAAATTTCTGGGGAATATTAATATCTTCTAATTAAGGTAGTATATCTGTAGTAGGGAGGTATCACTCACCACAAAATTCTAGGGACCCGGCAGCATACTTAATTTATTATTTGCAGATACGTGGAAGCAGATCATCAACTCAGTCAAGTGCCTTACAATGGCCTTGAATACTTGTATGTTCTGGAGTATCTTTTATAACCTGACATCATTATGCAAGGTTTTGTACTCTGCACATCAGGACTGGAGGACAAAAGACATCCAACAACTGCATCAGTTGCTTCAGCACCTATGCCCACCTAAATGCCACTCTTCTTCTCAGAATCAACATCCTAGGTCTGGAAGACCTCTTGGAAACAACAAAACTCCTTAGCACCAGTCACCTTATTCCCAACATTGTTCACCCATGGTTGAAATAAAAAAATGTAACTATTAGCACACTAACTATGAGATGCAAAGAATTACTTCACAAACACCATATGAACATGCATTAACTGAAATAGGATTTTTCCATGAGAGAAAAATGCAAATAAGCTCCAATTCCAAACGTGATTCTTTACTGTGTGTGTCATAGATTTCTTTTCAGCTGACCTCATTCTGATATATTTTTTTCTGTCTGCTAGTGCCTGTAATTAGTATATAACAAAGTCAGTGTGCAATATGGCTGGTAAACTTTCTCTGATACTCTGATACAAGGTAACCCCTCAAGAAAACGCTCACTGATGTCATTTGCTCAAAGTTAAAAAGTCTAGCTTCCACTAATTGAAAAATACCTAGCAACAATTGCTGACTTAATTGCAGACATGTCTCCTTTGGCAAACCACTGGTAACACGACAGCATAGACTTCAGTTTCTAGGTCTGCCTAATCTACCTACATTTTCTGTGGACATTCTGCTTCACTCATCTCGCATCATCATCTCTGACGTTTTCTACAGCACCCATGCACCAACAGAGAAAGGCTAACTTCAAAAAAGACAAAAAAACACCCACAGAAATATTTCAGAGTTTTGGGTTTTTCATTACATTGATTAACTGTCCCCTTTTTGCCTGAGCATCTACTTCATTCTAATGCAACAGAGAGACCAATACACCTTCCACATTAGAGGTAATTTGATCTTTTTTTCTCCCATGCAGGGTAACACCCTTCAACTACACACTTAAGTGACCAGGATAACACTTCTAACACTATCCACCCTTGCTGATATGACTGCAAAAGAGACAGTTTGATAAAAGTTTCCATTTAGTTTTGTTTGCCTTACATCACCTGAGGGTTTTCGGATCCAAGGAAGACAAGACAGACAAGCTGTATGCTTGATATAGTTTGTCTATTTAGGAAGGTCCAGCACAACAAGGAGATATTTTCAATCATAAGTCTCCCTTAGCTATTAACTCACTCCTTGACCTCAAGAAAATAACAGTATTTATCCTTCATTAGGAGGCATGAAGTTAATTTTGCTGGCCTTACAAAAGTGGGCACCAAGGTGGGATACTAGGACCCCTTCCACTGCTCTTTTCCCATCTAGACTCATCTGCCTTGCAGTGATTTCCTGAAAGGAATAAGGGAAATCTGTGGCAGAAGGTAGAAACAAATATATCCACATTAGACTTGGTGAACTGACCCCTCACCCACAGACATGAATGACAATGATTATTTCCTAATTTTTTTAAGCTTGGAAGGAGATCCTTCTCCAGTCATACATCTTCCCGGACATACGAAGAAGTCACAGTTAACCAACTGATCCAGGACAAGTTGTAGACTCTCCTAGTAACATGAATATGGAACACAAACTACTCTGACTAAAATATTAGTAAAAATTAACTAGTAAAGGTAGCTTCTATTGACACATTTGTAGCCTAAATAGAAAGGAATTCCTTTATGCAAGAACTGAAGAATGTGGTAAAGGAACAAATGCAAATGCCCTAGAAGAAATAGCCTGAGGTACACTCTTTATGTACTTATCTGTCAAATGACATTGTGATGCTGAGTGAGAAAACTTTGGTACAGCACTGAGAGTGCTGTTCATATTACCTCCCTCTCAGAAGTCTGTTTCACAGTCTCTCCCTAAAATGCAAACACCTGAGGAGACACAAGCCAGTTTTGATTTGGGGTTTGTATAAACACTGAAGCAGTATTTTGGATTTTCCAAGAAAAGACTCTAACAGCATAAAGACACAGCTAGCTATCAGCCACACAGCTTGTCAGTGGCTGTAAGGAAATAAAAGAAATTAGAGATTACACCCCTAGATAGCCATTAGTATAATGACCTCGTTATCTCCAGAATACTTGAAGCAGCCCTTGTAGTAGATACGTGGACCTTAATATGGAAAATCTTTGTTATCTTCTGAATATTGTAATATTCAATTAAAAACATACCTGATATGTTTTTTCATATATTTAGAATGAGCAATAAGAACTTAGAGCTAACTAATGCAGCTAACTAGGTAATGATATATATACTAACATAATATATTAAACTGAATTTTAATAGTATACCAATGGCAAAATACAAACTCAAAAAGAAAAATTTATAGAAATAAGAAAATACAACAAAAACTTACTGAATGCATAGGTTCTCAGAAGGAATGTATTTCTTATCCCTACAACATTGTTTACATTCAAGTCGAACTCCACATAGCTACTGGGAAGAAGAAAAAAAAAATCAAGCACCATGGTATTCAGTTTCTGAACATTTATTACCTACTTAGTGACAGATATGGAGAAATGTAATTTTAATATAAAATCCTAGAAACCTTCTTCAGAGCTTTAAATGCTGTCATTTCTACAATTTTGTTTATAGTATCTGAATTGCTTACAGACTGAAATTCCATTGTTATAAAAATATAATTGTTGTTTTACACAAAGAATACATGTAGATCCAAATTTAGACTCTTCCTCCCAATTAGACTTGCACTACATGATATAACACGAATTAAGAGGTTGAAAGGCAAGAGTCTAATGATGGTCAGAGATAATTAAGACTTTGAAATAAAAACAGGTATGAGGTAACACTGCATGTTCTGCAATAAAATAGTTTTGATAACTTTAATTCTGTTAAGAGAAAATAAGAACAAGGCAAACAAGCACTAATAAGCTTTACTTACAGCACATCCCATCCCCAAGTTTGAATTTCATACTGCATATGGAGCACAACTACTCACAGTACTCAAGAAACGACATTAAACTCAAAGTCAATAAGCCACAGCAACACTAACTTGCAACATGAAGAGCCTACTGTTGACAAAGGAGTAGCCATCTGCTATGTACAGCTATTTCTATTTTATATATCTTAAGTATCAGTCACTATATGTTTGCCCAAATATTCATTCAGTTTTTCTTACATAAGGGGAACGTGGACCTGAAATTCATTAAACTGGGTAAAACACATTAATTTGATGCCTACAAGCAGTTTTTTACACCTTTAGCTATATGAAACATTATTTGCATCAAAAATACTACATAATTTTAAACATGAATTAACATCAAGTATGACTTTTTACATGTTTTAAGAATATAGTACACATCAGTACAGGAAATAAACAAGCTTGAACTACCACTTGACAGTTGCAAATTTAAGCATAAACACCAGTAAGAACATTAACTGCATGTGCAAATACAATTAAAAAAATATGTCACGTGGCACGTGTAATTCCAGTTAATCCAAACTGACAAGATTACTATTTACCAGACACCAACTGAAGCAAGTTCTATTGCAGTTATTGTGTACTTTACAATGCACATTTAATAGCTGCTGACGTTATGGCAACTGAAAAAGGTTTCACTGTTGGGCTCAAGTTCTTTTAAAAGCACTAAAGGAGAGGACAAGAGTCAACTGCACATCAAACGTAGCAGAAGAGGAAGTTTTTGTATTCTCTGTAGTACAAAAATCTTGTTAACAAACCACAGGCTTGTTGGGAAGCAGACAGCATTGGAATTCTTTCCTAGGAAAGACTACCCAAAAAAAGGTAAGATAGTAACTCTTAAAGTGCTAAAAAACCCACAACTTTTAAGATGAAAAAGGAGAACAAACACAAACTGAACGCTTTCTTATTCACCAAAACAAAGTAAGCGGCAAACTTAAAAAACGTCATTTTCAGGTATATATGGACCATTGGTAACACATTAGAATGTGCATCTCCAGATACAGAGATACCACCCACGGAAATTTACCATCTTCTCCCAGCAGCTGGGCATCAAGAAAACTGGTTTTCACAGGAAGCTTGTCATGTTTAGTTTCCAGTTTTGGCAAAAAAAATCTTAGTGCCCTGGGTACAGAATATCCAATGCATTTTTCAAGACCTCTGTGAAAAAATGAACGAGTGTGGGTGTATGTGTATATATGAGCCTACAAAAGTCAGAAGATGTTAAGTGATTAGAAAGAGACAGATATTTAAATAAAATGACAACACGTGGGTGGAGAAGACAGGTTATATAAGAAAAAGATAACTGTAAAGACAGAAAATAAACAAAACCAAACACCATACAAAAAAACCCCCAACCCAAAGTCATGTCATTCCCTGCTTCTCCTCTCTTCTACAAAAGCAACACAGGAAACCAGACGGCAAACAGCATTGGTTTTAACTCTGCAAAAATATAATGTGCAGCTTCTAGTATAAGAAGATTATATTTTGCTTTAGAGTTCTTTAAATCATGTCTGTAAGGCATATAATTATCATTACTTACTATTTTTTGAAAGTGACTGTAGTATGGATTATAAATGTCTTCAATCTTCTCATACAATCACTTCCATACTTAAAGTTTCTTTTTAAAGTTTATTTTCTGATTTTAAAGTGGAAAAAAAATTCTTGCTATAATCCCACAACTTATTCAATATTTGCAAAAACAATTTACCATTTCATGTATTACAAAAAGACTAGCATTGCTCTATGTAGCTAAGCCATAGAACCCAGATTTTAACTTGGCAAGTATAATACTTTAAGCATGGGAGAAATAACCTTCTGTACTGTTAGAAGAGAAAATTACTAAATAAAAAGTATTCAAATTTTTAAAAGGTAGACAACTATACAGGAGTAACTATGGGACTAGGTGTAAATGAAGGAAACAGTATAAAGTGAAAATCCCTACAAGTGCTACATAATCTCAGATGAAAGAAAAGTTTAAATGGACGATATAGATTAGTTCAAATTGTAAACATGACCATATTTAGTTTTACCATGGCAAGGTTTCTGCTCTGATAAAGGCATATTGTGATTAAAAAAAGGGATATGCTTTTAGAAGGAGATGCCAGAGAAGTGGGCTCACTTGTTTTCATGAGACAGATACAGGGTTGTAAAATTTTAGACACATATAGAGAGGGTAAGACGGATAGAAGAAAGTTGTTCCAATTTGCAAAAATAGTGAAACTATGTTACTATATGAAGCTGATACACATCAATCCTACAAAGCTAAGCCAATAAACATAGGAAGATTTGAACACTACTCATATTGTTAACATATTTCAGTGCTTTGCATGACTTTTCCCTCTATCAGATACTTTTATTACACATAAGAAAAAATACATCGTTCTCTGCCCTAGTACATCCCTCTTATTCTCTCATGTCTTTATAATGAATATATAATGAATACTACAACGTATAACACATCCACTTCTCTCTAATTACTTCTCCCTTCTAAACAAAGGCCACAAAATTACTACCTCATAGTGTGAATACAACATGCAATACTATATTCTTAAACACAGAATATCTCCCTAGAAGACAGAATTTACTCTCTAAAATGAACAAAACCTTTTTAATCAAGAAAACATCACAATAAACTAAAGTTCATTTTAGTGTTGTTTGTATAGTGTAAATACTATGAATTAGTCCTTAAGTAGCTTAGCAGTTATGTTTGCACAACAAGCAAAATTAACTTTCACAGCAGTTTTCTTCCCACCATTGTTTTTCTGTTATAAACCATCTGTCAACTGGAGTCCACTATGCACAAATAACTGATGGAAATATGTGATGTACTGCTTCTAATTCACATCACAGAAACCAAACAGTATTTCAACCATAAGAGGTGTTTCAGGCAATCAAGGAAGTGAGCTGATTGCCGCTGCAAGCTAGCTGAACAAAGCTCAATACAACTAAGGCATCACACAAACAAACAGGCATGACAGCGTACTGACTCAGTACATATGTACTAAGGACAGTACATATATGGAGTACTTTCCCATATCGAAGTCTAAAAAATTGTGTTGAACAGAATACTTGCCTGACTTTATCCCTGAATTTCACTATTGGCACTTTTGCTCTAATCAGCTGAGGTCGCTCAATGTAGCTTGCTGAAAGGGAGAAAAATATGCAATTAAGTTTCATGTAAGATGCTGATCTTAATAAAATATCCTAAAGTGGAGTCATATTGACTGATTTATCACAAATAGTAACTTGTTAAATTTAGCAAATATATTCTCAGAAGGGTTGTGCTAAACTAAGTAACCTTTAGCAACTGCAGCAAAAATACAGGAGAGTGGGTGAAAAGAAAATAACTCTAAACGTTAGAGAAGGAAGTAGAACATTAGAGTAGAAGATTTTGCTGTGGGAAATATATTCCAAAAATTTGAACATAATGAATACAGTTCTACAATGCTTTCATGGAACATAGAAATCCTGAATAGTTATAATTAAGGTTCAAAAATAAGGGAGTAAGAACATATCCAACCAGGATGGGTAGACACTTAAGCTCAACTACAGTGTAGCAACACCCAGCATGCAATCAGCTGCATTCTTTTTAATTGTGCCTAATTTGCTTACAGTTGGAATTATGTATTTTAATGATCAAAAAATTAATACAACTGTCTTTATTATTCATTTACTACTATTCACTCATAGACTTAAAATTTGCTCTGAAAACTGCTCATTTGAACAATAAACTACATACCAAGAATGTTGTACTGTAGAATGGGACAACACTTTCTATCAAAGATGGCATAAGCTGTATCCGCCCTTTTCTTTCATAGTGATAGAACATGCAATAAATTCACAATCACAGGATGGCACTTCAGATGATTATCCACGCAGTATCAACACGTAGGCTCAATGCCAGGCCATCCAAACCCACACATATTAAACTCTGCCAGACTCACACAGTGTTACCAAAAGTACCCTTCGCACTCAGCTCCCCAAAACTGTTCTATCACATTGTTGTGATTTCCCTATACTTCATGATACCTCAGCCTATGTTTAGCAGTTGCCCACAAACCTGAATGAAAAATGTTCCCAAGAAAGTAATGGAGAAGAAAGAAAAGTAGAGCCTGTAGGTTACATGCTACAAATTTGGGCAAGAAGAACCATTTTAGTTCTTCTGTTGCAAAGTCTAGGACAACTTGAATTTGTCTATATCTAACATCATACATTTTCCCATTGATACTACAAATTAATGTCAAATTAGTATAAATAAGTATGACACAGCTAGAAGTAATACAGATTAAAAATAACATTGAATAAAATCTGATATTTTTCCCTCTCCAAAAAAGGTGAAAAGGAATTTCTGTCAGTTTGGATAGCCACCTGGATTAAACCACATCATCTCCACCGCTTTTGGATGACAAATTCAGATTTAGTGAAATGCTGCTGTGCAATACTCAAGTAAAACAAACTTCACTTTTTTTCTTGAGACTTTCCGAAACTGTTTTATGGATACACGTGTTCAGACACATTTGACCTCAGGCAATCCCTTCTCTGGATTTTAATGCATTGTACAAGCCTAAGTAACACACAGACTGGCATTCAGAGTCTGTAAATGTAAAATAATCTGATATCTGATAATCTGATATCAGATAATCTGATAATCTGATAATCTTACTAATTTATTAATGTTAAATGAAGAATCCTTAAGAACTTCAATTCACATTCACTGAATGTAAAATTTCTAGCTTCACCTTCAGACACATTCAAGCATCTTTCCTCCTGCATCCCAGAACATTCTTAAAGTGTTCTAAAGTATACAGAGCTCTCTGCCTTCTCTCCTTTCATTACCAAACTTAAGACAAAGATTCCCAGCGCACTTGCACTTGGGAGACAAGGGTGCACACATATCTGCATGCCATAGCAATTCAACTTTCCTCGCTACAACCCTTCCCAAGTGCTCAACAGAGGTTAACCAAACTCATTCTCAGTGGCAATCCACTTCCAAACACACTCCTGTCTCAAATGCCTCACAAACTTGATAGATGCTTGTGCCAAATTAGTTGGCTAAGAAGAAAAGATACATCCCAAAACATAATCCCAATCTCTTTCAAGGAGGAAGTTAGAAGGAGTAAATAGGAAGTTAAAAGGCAGTAACTTCCTGTTGGTATCCTCTTTCTCGCCTCAGAACAATGACACTGTTAGCAGAGTCTGTATTGTACCTTAGATTGTTATACCTAAAAAGGAAGAAACAGTCACAAATACAGAATGTGGAATTCTGAAACACATACAGGTTGAATAAGTGTCTTAGCAAACTGACTATGTGACCTTGAAAGCTACGACCAGAGAGGCTACACCAAAATACATGTAAAGAAATCTACATGGCTGCTCCACAGTTTCGGGCATGTCTGTGAAAAAGCCATGAACACCACTTCAGCTTAGCAAAAAAGAATATAATGGTTTCAAAGAAGGCTAAGCACTGCTTCATAAATAATTTATTCATGCACAATTTCAGATTAAACAGTTTAATTCTCTCTTTCCTTTTACTGAATAGAAGATTGGGAATTGGACAAAACATTAATCCCAAACACAGTATATGCCAGAAAGATCTTTCACATCCCGGACATGTAGCCTGGACTCATTCATTGGGTTATACTACTGAAGGAGAAACTGGGCAACACAGAAGTCTGATCGCATTTGTGAGGAATCTAGGAAGGCACAAGCAAGCATAGGATGAATTAACTGCTGACTTTTTGGAATTCACTCACTCAACTGCATAGTCCATTTGAGTTCAAATTCCCCTGCTCATCCCAGCTGTTGCACATTTCCTACTAGACAACCATTAGGCAGATTCCACTCTGATACTCCAGCCTCAACACTACTGCCCCTCTCTGTAAATCTAAGAGAAAAAGAGCTCTTTGTTATTTACACAGATAGTAAACACCAGTCAACCCAATACTGCCAAGTGTTTTTCAAATGAATCCTGCACAGATGAATCCAAAGAGAATACTCAGTCTGACATTTACTCTCAGTGGTCTGGATTATAATCTCTTCAATTATCACTCCAAATTGATGTTTCACATTTCTAAAGGCATTAGCTTGAGTGTACATTTCTGGGAATGTTAGCCAAAATTGTAAAAAAAATGTATATGCATGTATCTGAACAAATAAATCAGCAAGTTACATGAGCTCAGCTAGTCTTTGAAATGGACGATATATCTGCTATCCCCACGTCTCTGCCTTAGGAGAAACACAATACATAACAAGTCCCACAAAAATAGTGAATAAATACCAAAACCTTTTTCCTACTTTTCTCTGAGATTAGATTATTCAAAAACAGAACACATTTTCATTTCACTTGGTATTCTAGATGCAGAATGACAACACAGAAAAGCCTCTGCTCTAAGAGACTCTACTCTGATAGACTAAAATTCCTTGCTCACAATTGTTACCTTTTGCAAGCTTGAAACTGAAATAAGATGGAGTTTATACAAATTTTGAATCCACTTCCTAAACCTCCTAGAAGGAAATACTAATCTAACAACCACATTTAACTGTATATAAAGAATGAGAGATAGCACTTCAAGTTCTGAAGTTGATTTACCTAACACAAATGGTGAAAGAGACTGATCTAATCAGCACTTGGAATGCTTCTTCATTTAGCAATCATGGAATTAAGGTGAAATAAGCAGAGAATCACATCTCCTGTTGCCCTTATTTTGGAATATATAGGAACATCATGCAACAAAGAGGAAGATGCTATGAGAGGCACAGATAGAAAAAACTGAAATGATCTGGAAAAAGGTTAAAAAAGCTCTTGAACTTTACCTATATCACAAATCTCCTCCTTATTTCTTTTTGTCCTTTAAGTCTTTCACAAAACCAGAGCAAGTACTTAATTTTAAGTAACATCTTATCTTTCTTTCTCTTGTTGTTTCTCTTACATCTTGGCACATACTTTATTAGCATTGATGTTTGGTCCAAACTATGTTTATTTCCATTCTCTTGTGTGAAGCACGGGAGAGTCTTGCATTCCAGGGAAACCCAGATTAAGTTTTGGACTCCTTATGCAAATGTCAATATACAACAGTAATACGCATTAAATATCAAATGTCTATTCTGCAAAGCATCTACCAAATAACTCTTCAAAGTGAGCTGTTAAAATCTGTGTGTGCTCGCCTGCCAATGAAGAAATTTTGAAGATTACACTTAAATTTATGGTTTGTTCCTTTTAGCACTGCAGGATCCTTCAGAACATCAATTCAAGGAGCAGCATCAAAGAATGTACCACAAGTCTGAGAAACAGGGTGATAAAGTCATTGATATCAGTAAATGTCTGGCTCTTTTACAATTCAAAGGATGATACAAAAGCCTCTTTGAAATAGGAAGCTTTCACATTTAAATTAAGAACTGCCCTTGTGAATTCTTCATCTGAAGGGAGTCTACAAAACAGCTTACAAAAACTATGAATTGATCTGTTTTATCTGTATGTGCTGGTACTATCAACATTTAGTGATTGCTTCATTAGGCACCTAAGGTAATTTTTTCACACCTATCAAGCACTCCCTGCCCCCTAAAAAAATCAATTCTACACAGTGACATCTTATTTTACAAATTCTTAAAGAGTATTTTTCCCAGGAAAGCAGTGCAACCTAAAAGAGTAGTAAGGGTTCTCTAACAGAGGTTTCCCAAAGAGAAATCTACCCCCTTTTCATTGTGTTCCAAAATTAAAAAGCCATTTGAGATACTACCTGTTACTGAAGTTGACTAGTTTTCAAGAAAACCATTATGTTTTCCTAATTACCATCACCAGTACCAAACAACATTACTAAATACTTATAGCTTTGCTTGAAACAGTACTGTGATTAGAAGCTAGACAATATGCAATTACATAAAGTAGTTGCAATTGTGCATCAATACTTCTTCCAGAATTACCACCTCACTGTTGCCAGGAACTTACAAAGTTTAGTACTGAAGAGTTTTTGAACTGAGCTGAGTATACGTCTTGCTTCAGTCTTCTGATTCACCTGAAATATGATATTAAAAGTAAAGAAAAAAGTTGATATCTCTCATCTAAGTGTTCCAAGTAAGCATGCTTTGCTTTTAAAATGCAATTAATTCTGTGAATAAGACATGAACATGTACATCAACACATTCTACAGCCTAGATATAGATTTATCATGGCAAATGCCAGATAGAACAATCTCTATTTAATATTCAAAATAATTTAAAAATCACAGAATTAGGTGATAACCTAGCCCCAGTTACACAAAAATGTACTCTCCTTCTGTTTAAATGATGCTTTAATTCTTTCAAGATTATGGTCTATTTAGATTTCTTTTTTGTTATATCTTTTCTCTCAAGCAAAATTCCACTCATAACATTTTCTATCACTAAAAATATTTAAGATATTTTGCCTGTCAAATTCCTTCTTATACTTGATCATTAAACTAGGTAGCTATGAATGTAAATAATGATATAAAAAATTTGACTTACTAAAAGTTGTTTCTGCATCTAGAAAAAATTAGAGTTCTCTAAACAATTTTCTTCTTCGTTCTACACACTTACTTCTGCTTGGCTGTATTTTTTTTTCACTCATAAATTGAAGGCAAAGCTTATTTTTTAAAGTTTTATTAGGTTTATAGGGTTGAATTTATATCTGCAACATTACTGGGCCCATAGTTCATAGCTATTATGAATGCAAAAATATGTTATTAAATCAAAAGGATTTAACCATCTGTTTATCATTTTGGAATCCAGCCTTTTAACAGCACACACATAAAACCAGACTTTGTTTTAACTATATAGTTTTAAATTACTTACTGGTTCTTCTTTAACCACCAGGCATAAATCACCATCACTACTACGAGTGCCAAATCCATTCAGAGAGGATCCAACCAAATAAAGTCTGCTCTCTGTAATAAAAGAATAACAGCAAATAAACATGATGTGACATATAACAGTTTGAGAGGAAGGAAAAACTGCGAACCTGAAGAACATTCAAGCTGGTATTAAGTAACTAAATTCCAAACATACGTGGAAAAATTAGCTGAATTTCTCTCTGGAGTTCTGTTCTGCAGAGCTCTTTGCTGTCCAAATCAGAGGCCTGTTGTTGACATGCTTGAAACAACTCCAAAACCTGTTGACTTAACTGGACACACACATCCAAAAAGTAAAGATACAGAGATGTGAACATTCTTTCCTGTCAGATATGTAATTACATAAAACAAACACAGAAGTTATTTTTTTTTAATGCAAAAACCAGCATCACTTCACATGACCTCCTCCATTGTCTAGAGTTTTACTGCACTTAAATTTCATATTGATTAACACCCTCAAAGAAACTTCTGCTAGTTTTCAAATTTTAATTTGTTCAATTTTTTATAAAATGCCTATCCACAGGAAATAATTTTTGTGTCATCAGTATCAGCAGCCTCTCAGGAAATAGGTAGTAAAAGACTAGAGATATCTTCTGCTGACTTTAATGTCAACAGTTTGCCTACCAGTAGGTGAAAAAATTATTAAAAAATACCATTTTAAATTAGCTTTATTTTTTATCCCACACAAACTATTAAAGAAGTAGTCAGATCTTTGTTGGAAGAAGGTATTAATTGTATTTCTTTCACAATATTGCTATATGCTATATTCAGCAGGCACATTCATACTGAAAAAAAAGCTTCTCTCATGTGGATGCAAAAAAAGTATCAAGACTGATTAGCCACATTTTTATTGTATTTATTTAAAACAAGAAACAGTTCAAAGCTACACTGTCCATCTAAAGAAGGCATTCTCTTCTATATTACAGAAAAGCTACAACCATAACTTTTACATCCTCTTGAAAAGAGATAGAGGACATCTTTACAGGCCCAAAACTGTATTTATTCAGAATGCACTTCTCTCATATTACCATGGAGTTTGGTTTTTTTTTAAAATCTGCATTCTCCCTCACCCCATATCATGTGAGAAATGGACCATTCCTCCAATTTTTACTTCCTGGAGCAGATATGTAGGTTTCCTGACATTATATGGAAACCAAACAACACAAGAAAATAACACGCTGACCTTCCCCACCCCCGAAAAAAATGTTCCAAACCCGAGCACACACATGGGGTTATACAGAACTATAGCAGCAGCTACATTTATTGATATTCCTTCTAACGACAGCTCAGCGATAAGAGACCCTGTTACACTGTCAAAAACCTTGCACAAATTTTTGTGGTCTCCCACAGCACCTCTGGATTCTGCTTACTCAGAAGGCAGAAGTAAGCACAAGCACAGAAAGTTACTACCTCATCTTTGGCCAGAGGGAGTCTGGCTTCTGTAGGGTCTGGAAACAAAGTATCTCGCAACGGAGGGACGCATCTAGCTAAAGCTGGTGAGCCACGTGCAAGGAACGATGGAGACTGAATTGAAATTGGTCCTGGGAAGGAGTGTTGACGTTCTTCTGGTAAAGGCACGGCTTGGTTAACTACAGTTGTGTCAGAATTCTGTGAATCAATCCGCTGCCGTTTGACATTACGTGAAACACTTTGTTCACTTTGCCTCCTAGAGGGGGTGGGGGAGGGAGAGAGAGAGAGAGAGAGAGAGAGAGGAGAGAGTGTGTGTAATTCCTCTAGTTCGCAGTTTAAACCTGTGATTAAAAGACAGTTTCTAAAAAGTTCAGATACCAACATTCAGTGATGTACCTACTTCACTAAAAGCAAGTATTCTACAGAACAGGTGTGCCCATCCTAGACCACACAACTGCAAAAGTGCGGTTTCCCTAGAAGTGAATTGATGCAGCTTAAAGGCAAGCATCAGAACTAACCAACTTAAACCCAAATGGCAGATTTGGTTAAGTTGATTGCAAATCTCCCAACATGGCACAGCCTTCTATAAAACAGACTGCTCAAGAGGAAAAGATGCATGTAGCATGAAACGAGAAACTTCCTTAGTTCATGGGATAGTTATAGTTACATACTCAGCTATAACTTAATAACATATTGTACTTATTTTTTCATCTGTTAGATCTGAAAGAGAAAGAGCATACAGGAAATAGTTCTGAAGACAGGTTACATAAACTTTCTTCCCTCTCAGTTGATTCACAGAATTACTACAAACACATATCAACAACTATACCTGAACCCGTATGTATGTTTGAATTTAACACTTTGTATTTGAAAAATAAAGCATCACATAAATAAGAAAATCAAGAAAAACATGTAATGTGTCATGAAAAACAAGAAAATTCACATAAAATCTTGAGGGTGCACTCTTTAACAGGAAAAGAACATTTGTTGACACACACCTGCTTATAGTCAATTACATACAGACTACAATTTATTGTAGCATTAAAAAAAAATCACCTAAATCACAGGTCTGCAAGCCTACAGCTGTTGGAAGTGAAAACCTAGGTACAGGAAGTCACTATGAGTACTAAGATTCTCAAAAACATGAATGCTTCACATTACCTGTTTCATAAAAAAAAGTATTCAGTATTGCAATTTTTAACATAACTCAAGTTGCATAAGTAATTGATACTAGATGAGCTTCGCCATGGGTACATTACAACCAGTGTTAGTCATATATATACAAAGAACTTACTTTCTTCCTTGAAACGATGTGAGGGCACCTGACGTAGACACTGGACTGACATTTCCATAAGTCATTGGTTGCAGTGTAGCAGTTGAAGTAACAGCTGGAGTAGCTGCAAGGTTCCCACTCAAAAGAGCTCTAGAAAGACTACAGTCCATAACTATTATTCATAAGATAAAATGATTTTTATGGACTGGTAGTTCTTGTTAAATGAGTACTAAACTCTACAAGTCATGTCATTTTTTCTCTTAGAAGCAATACGTCTTTCTATTCAAAATGAAAACATATTTTAGTATATGATATGTACTTCATTAAAAATCAGAAAATTATCATTCTTGACAGCACATGTGTAAGAAGGGGTTAACAAACAAATTAACTCAAGGCACTGTTAAATTCAAAAGTCAAAAGAACGCTACAGCATCTACAAATATAGACCCAAGAATAGATGCTTCTTCCCCTTCGCATCTTCTCCCTGTTCTTCCCAACAAACAAATACAACTGAAGCCCTTTAAAACTGAACTGTGGATTAACAGTCAGTGCAATGGCATTTCATGCACTATGCACAATGCAGGCGAGTGTTAAGACTTGCAGGTCACCCACAGAAATTATACAGCTCTGTTTTACAGGTGACTCCTCCATATTTTTGAAGTTCAATGCAGTTTAATGTTAAAAACAGTGAAAACCATCCGCCATAAACAGAAATACTTCTTTCAAACCCAATCGTCACCTTACTGTACTTACACTGCAGTGCGAAAATTCAACGGAGGAACAACAGTTTGCTGGTGAGAAAGAGTAGGAGGTATATTTACGGGAAGTACATTGAAGAAATTACTCTGTTGCTGATGCTTTGAAGGGAAGGGTGGACGACCCAAGTTGGAAGAATTCGGGAACATGCTCCTTTCTACTTGAAGTGAACATGTATCCTTTTACCTACATGAAAAAAAAAAAAGAAAGAATGGTATTGAAATTAGGCAAAAAGAAATACTAGTTGCCTTTTAAAGTCTTGGTTTAAAAATTCAAGTAATCTAGAGTATAATTCCAAGAATTGCTACAGAGAATTGTCATTGCAGGCTAGCTTTTATTGCCTTTCAGGACAAGAAACTAAATAAAAAATACTGTACACTCTAAAGTTTCACAATTACTACTTGCTTTATTTATGTTTAAAAATGGACTTTTATTTGTTCCTCTCCATTTTAAATTTAATTTTTGAAAAATTACATGTCGCAAGGTATAAAAATGTTCATCTCAAGGAAAAGCAATGCATTACAGTGGAATATGTTTCATATTCAAACATTCCACAATAAGGTCCACAGTATATGGGAAGAAACACTTGACTACACCATAAGAACATGAAGATGCAGCAGATCACAATCTATAAGTTAATATTTTTTTCATGACACGACACATAAAAAAGCAGCCAAATTATGACAGGAATTGCAAATAATCTCTTCATACTTTAAGAATATCATACATATAGTAATATTTTACTGAATGGCCTCTGTGATAAAAAAATATAGATTTACTACCTTTTAAACCTAGAATTGATTCTGGCAAAACTGGCCACGTTTAACCTCCTGGGACAGCTTTGACTGTCACTGCAAGCAGCATTAGCACAGAGCATAGGAAAATGAGTAACAAGGAGTTTATGTGCTCAGGTTTGACTTTGTTCCTTACTTCATGTGATGACAACCCACACTAGTGAAAACCCAGTAATACGTACATGGACGTCACTGCAATAGCTCCATGAAAAAAAAGTACCAGGATTAATGCTCTCACAGTTCTTCCTCTTTCTTTTTTTTTCCCCTCTTTGGAGAGGCCGATGAGGGGAAGCATTATGTACTAATGTAAGTTATTATTTGCATGTTCACTTTCAATTCTGCTAAATGAACGAACCGAACTGCATGTCAACAAAGTCACGTGACATTTACATTTAATATGAATTATTATTTATGTGCTGTCTAAACTCTTTCATTTCTCGTAGACAGAACAACTGTTAACACGCCTCATTCCTCTCTGAGCAGACCAGGCACTCTTCACATCACACACAGGATACGAAAGCAGTTTATGGAAACAATTAGCTAGTAATAGGACCATTCATGAGAATCCAAGAGGTGCAGAAGAAACACCATTTAGCCCTTTGAAGCAGTAAATACCAGGAAAAGAAACAGCGGAGGAGTTACCTTTCCCACACCAAAACAACGCAGCAACACCGCTGCCTCACAGCAGCAACAGCGGCAATTACCGTGGCTTCCGGCAGAGATTACATCGGCAGGAACTAACAGGCTCTCCAGAAAGAGTTCATAACTTACAGTCCCGGTACCATTGTCCCGGCGGGCACCGCTTCCAAACCAGCGCGTTCTTCTCGCAGAGCCAAGTGCCCCGTGTACGGAGCCCGGCCCACGGATCCCCGACAGCCCCTAGTGACACCGCCAGGACAGGTGTCCGGTGCCACTGCCACGCCTGCGGCCCAGGTCCGACCCCCGGCACCGCTCCCTGTCACATCCACACGGGATCCACACGGGATACTCACGCCAAGCCTGGGTGGAGGCACGCGGGACGGGCCCGCGGGCAGCACCGAGCAGGGCCGGCAGCGGAGACCAGCTCTGGCAGCTGAGCGCCGCTCTGTCCGCCGGATGCAGGGATGCCACAGGAAGCGTTCGGGATGCGGCGGAAGGACTCAGGATGCGGCAGGAAAGGCCCGGAATGAATGCGGCAGGAAGGTCTCGGAATGCGGCAGGAAGGGAAGGGCCCCTTCCGCCGGCTCCCGCGCCACTTCCGCACCGCTACGGGCAGACGGCCCTTAGGGGCCTGGTTGGGCGGAGCGCGGGGCGCATGTGCGGGGTTGGCGGGGTGGGACAGGGACGGGGACAGGGAGGGACAGGAGGCGGGGTAACAGTGCCAGTGCCAGCCGGGCATAGCGGGGGCCGTGAGAGTAAAGTCCGTGCAGCCGATTTGCTTTCTACAGTTGCTGACCGACTGTAATTGAGCTGCCGTTCAGAAGCGTGTCAAAAGTATAGTATTTGGCTAAATGAGTTAGGATTGTAGGTGTGCTAGGATAAACCCGAGGTCACGAACGGGCTGAAATGCCTGCACCCTGAGGAGTGAAAAGTTCGGAAGACAGAAGCAGAATCTCAGAATCATCAAGGCTGGAATAGAGTTCATCCGGCCACCGACCAGCGCTGTCTCTGTAACCACTAAACCATCATCCAGCACCAGAACCAGTCACTCGTTGAGCATCTCCATGGATGGTGTCTGCACGACCTCCCTGGGCAACCTATTCCAATGCCTGACCACCCTAACAGTGAAAAAAAATTTTCTAATACCTGCTCTGAATCCGCTCTGTCTCAGCTTAAGGCCATTTCCTCTTGTCTTCTCACTGCAGGCAGAGACCTGTCCCCACCTCACTACAACTTCCTTTCAGGTGGTTGTAGAGAGTGATGAGGTCCCCCCAAGCATCCTCTTCTTGAGACTAAACAAAGTGAGCTCCCTCAGCCATTCCCCATAAGATACGTTTTCCAGACCTTTCACAAGCCTTATTGCCCTTCTCTGGATATGCTCCAGCACCATAATGTCCTTTTTATCACGATTCTTTCTTCAGGACAATTACTGGAAGTGGGCTCTTGCCATGAGCAGGTACTGAAACAGTGAGCTGGTGCACACCTATGCCCACACTGTTGAAGCTCCCCCCTTTGAGAGGGAAGGAGTAAGTTGAGGTCTTGCTCAGTTTTGAGTTTCTTGCTTGAAGGCTTGCTCAGCTGACAGCAGGCAATTGCCGGGGTTGTCACAGTTTGAGACTGGCTACTCACATACAGACCTAGTGGATAACAAAGAGACAAAACACAGGGGCCCAATGAAATGGGTCTACAAATGAACTGGGAAGGGAAGGCTTGGGCTGCGAAAGGACTTAATCACCTTGGCTGTGGCATGGGAACTTTGTATAAGGGTCAGCCCATGGCTATGGTTAGCACTACATTTATGAGAGACAAATTTTAGAGTCATACATGGAATGAAGCTGCAAGACAAAGTTCAGCCACAAAGACATTTCTCTTGAGAATTTTTTATTTAATCATTTTGACTATTTACCAGCCAAAGCACATGGCAAGGGTTAAGGCTAAGTTTAGAGTTCAGAGAGAGACAAAATCTATAGGTCTAGGTGACATGGCGCTGTGGAGAAGCTTCCAAGGGAGAGTTTGGACTGCAGAAAGTGTTTTTAGAGTTAGAAGAGAGACAGTTCCTGGGGGTCTAGTTGTGGTGGGTCTGCAGAGGGACTGCCTAGGGGTGGTTCTGCAGAAAAATTACTCTCAAAACTTGAATCAGGGCCATGTTTGGGTTTGCCTAGGGTTAAGGCCTTGGGCACTTTTAGGGCAAGGAAGGGACAGTTCTGAAGGGTTTAGCTGAAGTGGGGCTGCTGAGAGGTCTGGGCTGCAGAAGGAATTCTCCGGGAGCCTTTTTATCTGAGCCACATTTCAGTCTGTCTGGTGTTAAAGGTCTTCTAGCACTAAGGTTCAAAGAGAGACAAAGCCTAGAGATCTAGGTGAAGTGAGGCTGCAGGCAGGCTGTCAAGGGAAGGTGTGGGCTGCCAAATCAGTTCTCTCCTGAAACTTTTTCATCTGTGCTACAATCTGGGTTTTCTGCGTTTAAGCTCTACCTTAAAGGCTACCTGGCCAGGGTTAGGATTAGAAGAGAGACAAAGCTGAAGAGTTCTGTTGGGGGGGGGGCTGCAAAAAGCTTCTAAGGGCAGATTTGGGCATCACATAGAACTCCCCTTAGAGCTTTTCCATCTTGGGTGTGGTTTGGGGTCTTTGGCTAAACTCAGCCCACAGTTAACATAGGGGTAATGGATATGGTTCATAAATGATACAACGCCCTGGTGTCATTTGGGGTTGTGGGTGATAAGGATTTGAATTGGGACACATTAGGATGAAAGAAGAGTTGTTCCTTGGGGAGTTCAGTCCCAAGATATCTTAAACAGAGAACAAGTAGAAAAATAGATCTTTTGTTTCCTGAGAATTCTACCAGTGCCCAGTTAAGCAGAACTTGGATTTTGATCTGTGTGCTGGTTTTGTCTGGGGTAGAGTTAATTTTCTATGGGGCTGTGTTTTGGATCTATGCTGAAAACAGTGTTGATAATATAGAGATGTTTTTGTTATTGCTGAGCAACACTTACAGCAGAGTCAAGGCCTTTTCTGCTTTCCATACTGCAATGCTGGTGAGGAGGCTGGGGGTGCATGGGAGGTTGCGAGGAGACACAGTTGGGACGGGTTACCCAAACTGACCAAAGGGATATTCCATACCATTTGACACCACGCTCAGTACATAAAGTTGGGAGAAGAAGGAAGAAGCCAGGGGCATTTGGAGTTATGCTGTTTGTCTTCCTGAATGACGGTTACTCACGATGGAGCCCTGCTCTCCTGGAGATGACTGAATACCTGCCTGCCCATGGGAAGCAGCGAATTAATTCCTTGTTTTTGCTTTGCTTGCATGCACAGCTTTTGCTTTCTCTATTAAACTGTTGTATCTCAACTCATATGTATCTCATATGTATCTCAACTCTATGTTTTACCCTTCTGATTCTTTCCCAGATCCTGCTGGTGGGGAAGTGAGCAAGTGGTTGTGTGGTGCTTGGTTGCCAGCTGGGGTTAAACCACAACAATCTGGAACTCAGCTCTCTTTCTATACTATTTGTTTGGAACCAAAGGAATAATTTCTGCTCAAGGCAGAAACTTCATGTCTTAACAGTTAGAAGTCAGTGATAAAAGTCCTTATAGCTGGAGTTCCCCATGCAGCCCTTTCAAACAGTGTTCTCCAGACCATTTGACTGCTCTTCTCATCATAATCTATCCATTAACCAATAACATGTCACTCTTCTGGGATTCTCACATTTGCCATGGGGCCTACAATAAATATAACCTAACACAGTCAATAGACCTTGTAGCAGGCAGTGTTTATAGCAGTGTATTAAGCATCAACATATTTTATACAGCAAAATGGAAAAAAAAAAAAAGAAAAAAGAAGATTTAGGAATGCCTTTACCCAATTAAAGTAACTTGTGTTGCTATGTTTTTTCCTGGTCTCCTTCTGCCCTGCTCCTTGGCAAAAGGCACCCTTGTATTTTGTGTTTATATCAATCTAGATTACCAAATAACTTTTTTTTTCTGGCTCAGACTGTTCACTCTTAAGGATTTTTTTTCCATGTCTTATCTGCATTGACTTGTCAACATAGCTACACATTTCAGTGAGGCACCTGACATAACCTGATATTTTACAAATTGCCAACAGTCTTATGAGACAAATCTCTGTGCTTTGATGTGCTGAGAGCTGTTCTATTTTTCAGTATCTGCTGTCTTACTTCCTGACCCTGACTGTGATCTCAGACAGTTTAAAGATCCTCTTCTGTCAGAAAAGACATACAAAGCCTTACTTCTGGGTTTAGTCAGGAATCAGGCTGCTGGACAAGAGACACTCAGCTGAACAACCTTACAACAAGGAATTTGAGAATTTGCACCAGTGATTCCAACAGATTCCCCCAAACGGAATAGCATTAGGACTGGTGTAAAACTCCTGCCCCGGGAGCTGCTGACTCATGGAATTGGCTAAGAGCTTTACTTTAATATATAGATATAGGATTCTTTAATACCTTGAGATAGCAACTGGCTTGTTTCCAAGGAATTACTGTATTCATTTAGGGGAGTAAATAAGGGGATTTGTCCAAAGTTCAAAAGGACACCACACAAGCTAGACAAAATGTGCCACTACAATACTGATTCAACATATACTATTAATCCACAACACTTAAATCAAGATCTAATCCCTCCAGCTCCAAACCACGCTAAGTATCAAGAAAGGAGCAGAGAAAGAGAAACAAAGGGATCAAGAAGAGAGAAGGAGAAAGAGGGAGAGACAGATTTTAGAGCTACCACTGAAGCCTCGTAGAAGACCAGCTCTCACAAGTCCAAGTGGCAGTGCTGCAATACGAAGCAAACACATGCCTTTGGTTTTATTTGCTCTGGTCTCTATGGCCAACCCTTCAGCCACTCTGGAGTTCCAGGTCAGGGTGAGAAACAGTGTTCTCACTGTCTCTGCCAATCTGAGGCTGGGTTAGGGGCTCCAGCAGATGTGGTGTGTTATAGTTTTCCCGGGCTGTTTGTGACTGGCAGCAACTCTGGGGCTGTTCCATGTGGGCTTCAGGGGCTGCCATGAGGGATACAACACCACCTTACCTCCATGACGTTCAACTCATCCCTTCCCCCCACACACACACACACACTCTCCCCACAAATGGGTTCTGACCCATTAATAACTTATCTGGTTGATATGGTTTGAAGCTGGCTCCCTGCCAAGTCTCCAAACCTTACCACCAGAAGTCCCCCCCCCCCCAAACCTCAGGGAGAAGAGGGAGAAAAACAACCAACTAAGAAATAACCCGAAACGAGAGAGACAGCTAAAGTGATATATATAAATATATTTACACTTATATA